ACATGTTCATAAACAGAGCAAATTAATACATAGTTTCTGCTACAAAATCTCTAATTCCCCTCAAGTTTATACATTTCTTAAGGAAACAAGTAGGAATCTGCAGAAAGTTAAAACCTTTATTCGAATTGAGCTGTCTTTGAGGTTCTTGGCTCCTTTCTTCTTCTTCTTCCCTCTGCTCAGTATTCTCTCTCCTTCTCCCTTTAAGAACTCCAAACTCGGCCTTCAAGTTTCTCATATGTTTCTCCACGTCATCACCACACTCGTCCTTCACGATCTCACACACTCTATCACGGTAGCTTCGGTGGCAACTTGTCTTTAAGGGATCAGAGGAGAAGCTTCGTGTCAATGCAGGGGTCGTGATTGTGGATCTTAAGCAAGAAAGTTCTTGGCTTTGTTGCAGAGATCAAGTCTTGACCTTGGTTGCAATCTATCAGGATCCAAACACAATCGTGATTTCATCACCCCACTCCTTCTCTCTCGCGTTGTTCTTGCTCGCATCCAAGTGGAACTCTGGATTATCTCAACGCTCGATCTCGTCGTCACGTTGCTGTTGCCGTCATCGTGTTGCTGTAATCCGTCAAACTCTCTCGATAAAGAGATAGAAAATTATAATCAATTTATAAGAGGGTTATTTTGTCTTTTACCTATTAATGATTTAGGTATTTCTGAAAATGTCTTCCTTCTAAGTGTATATATGAATAATGGTAGCACACTTGTGGTAAAATTGAAATTCTCCCTATATTTTATAGCTTCATTCGTATAAAACTTAAAACCTATCATAATATTTTTTTGGTGAGAAAATGTTTTGTTGCTTGACCAGAATTTCACTCTCAAAAACCAAAATTCGAAGATGCTGCTGAAAGTTTATGATATACTTTCTGAGCATTTTGATCTCAATAGTACACGATCATTTAATTAATTGATCAAACGAATGTGTTTTTGTGATTTATTGGATTTTACGTCGTTAGCATTGTGGGGTTTTGATTTGCATCTGTAAAATATGTTGATTTAAATCACTAATATCATCTTTTTGAAAAAGTTTTTAGGTAAATCTATTATCGTTAACCATGACCGTCTCGAATTATATTAGGGCTCTATTTAAAAAATTATATATTTAATAAGGTAATAAAATAATTTTAAAGTTAATATTTATATATATATATATATATTTGTTCTAAATTATAAATTATAAATTTAAAAGAAGTATGTAAAATTTTGATATTTTAAACTATATTTATATATTTATTTTTGAAAATTTCTTATTAATTTTTTCTTTTTAGATTTGGGTCATGTTTGACTGTTCGAATACTTGTTGAAATAATACATATGCTAATAATAGCACAACAAAACACATATATAACAAAAGAAAAAATATACCGTATTTGATCATGCTTTTATTTGGTTAAATATTAATTAGATTGAATTGGTGATCGAATTGGCGGCAATAATATTACAAATCGTGATATCCAACTTCTAAAAAGCTGTTGAGCAAATAGGAAGACCCTTTTGTGTAAACGGTAATTGTTTTCATGATATTGGCAGTAAAAAGTTTATTGCACTACAGTTTTCCTGAGAATCTGATCATAATTCATAAAAATATATATATCAAATAGTAATATATTCAAGGAGTGAATGCCTTGAAAATTCCAGAATATACCAAAGTATCCATTTTTTGTTTATGATCGTAAAGAACAAAAGCATCATTATATATGCCTAATTCTGTTTATTTTCAATAATATTTCACATTTTATAAAGTTATAACAATACACATTGAATAGAGATACCATATAAAAAAAATTCAAAATGTGGTGGTTCCCACAGCCAAAGGGGAATGAGATAGCCATCTACCTATATTTATATCTCCACAACTTCACTCATTTTCCTCAATCAAACACACTCATTCATTCTCCATCGTCGTCAGATACAACGGTCAGTTCCAATGGCGGATAACACCGATAACCGGAGAGCCATATGGGGAGTTTCGGAGAAGCTTCAGCTTCACATAGCCATGCTCACGTTACAATTCGGTTACGCTGGATTCCACGTGGTCTCGAGAGCTGCTCTTAACATGGGCATCAGCAAACTCGTGTTCCCTGTTTATCGTAACATCATCGCCTTGCTTCTCCTCCTTCCCTTCGCTTACTTCCTCGAAAAGTAACCTTTTTCATAAAACCCTTTTCTTTATACTCTTTGTGATTAACTATTACAATTAATCTAATTACCATAACTATATGTTATTTAGGAAGGAGAGACCAGCGATTACTCTCAACTTTCTCATCCAGTTCTTCTTCTTGGCACTCATCGGGTATGTATTTATATTCCTCACTTACATATTTTCAGTAACAAAGTGGATTACTAATTAATATGTCATTGAATATTATTACACGACACAGAATAACAGCGAACCAAGGGTTTTACTTGTTGGGACTGGACAACACTTCACCAACATTTGCTTCTTCCATGCAAAACTCTGTTCCCGCCATTACTTTCCTCATGGCTGCTCTTCTCAGGCATTGGATCCATCTCTCTTTTTTTCTCGTGTGCTCAATAATTAAAACAAAAGTATAATTAAAAAACTCATGGACAGACAGCAAATGATACATAACGAACCACTTTAATAATTTCATTTGACTTTGTCAACGTATAAAAAAAAACCTACCATAAGTGGATAATGTTTATACCTAGAAAACATTAAATGCCATTTCCGGATAAACTACAAAATAATGTGATCAATAATAGTAACAACACTGTTTAATGTTTATGTTATGTATGTATAAACAAAACACAGGATTGAGAAAGTTAGACTAAACAGAAGAGATGGTGTCTCCAAAGTCCTAGGAACAGCTCTTTGCGTGGCCGGAGCTTCTGTCATCACTCTCTACAAGGGTCCCACCATCTATTCTCCGACTAGCCACCTCCACACTCACCTCCTCACTACCAACCCAGCCGTATTAGCGCCGCTTGGAGACGCAGCACCAAAGAACTGGACTCTTGGTTGTGTCTACCTAATTGGTCACTGTCTCTCGTGGTCCGGTTGGCTCGTGTTTCAAGCTCCGGTTCTTAAGTCTTATCCGGCGAGGCTCTCAGTTACGTCTTACACCCTTTTGTTCGGAATCATCCAGTTTGTGATCATCGCTGCTTTCTGTGAAAGAGATTCTCAGGCTTGGATTTTTCACTCTGGTTGGGAGCTTTTCACCATCCTCTATGCGGTTAGTTTTCTTTTTTTCTTTCACCTAGAAATTTTAATTTTACTATTTGCTACCACTTTTAAAATTTATTAATAATAAATAACTATTTTCAAAAATTACCTAAATTTGTGATAACACTAAACTAATCTTTTAAATATTTATCGAACATTTATAAATCAATCACAACCTCTTAATACTAAACTGTAAATAATAATCACTAAAACCTAAATTTAAATATTATATTTTTTTATTGTTGAAATTTTTGTAAAATAGTTCTTAACTTATGATATTTTTAATAATTTCTCTTTTCAGTCCTCTATATTTCTAAACTTTTTTGATTTTGGACCTAATGTTTTACATTGATAAATTTGGTCCTCAGGGAATAGTGGCTTCTGGAATCGCGTTTGCGGTTCAGATTTGGTGTATTGACAGAGGAGGTCCAGTGTTTGTTGCTGTTTACCAACCCGTTCAGACTTTGGTCGTTGCGATTATGGCTTCCATTGCTTTAGGCGAAGAATTTTACTTGGGCGGGTATGTAAAACAAATAAAATCATATAACAGGGTGCTTTATAGCATTTATAATTAGTAGAGGACTGGAACATTAATTTTAACTGTTTTATGCCTTGTGGCGATCTCTTATTGCAGGATTATTGGAGCTGTGCTGATCATAGCGGGACTTTACTTTGTGCTCTACGGTAAGAGCGAAGAGAGGAAATTTGCAGCTCTTGAGAAGGCAGAGATCCAGTCCATCGCGGAGCATGGTATCGAGCGTGTACCAGTTTCTCGCGGCTCCATCAAGTCGTCCATCACAGTTCCACTGCTCCATCAGTCAACGGAAAACGTTTGACTTGTGGAGTCTCTCTCAAGCTAATAATTACGAACGTCATTATTACCCATTTAAAAGGGAACAATGGTGTGCCGTTGTGTTTTATGACTTTTGTGTCTGTTTTTTTTTTTTTTTAGTTTTTATTTTATTTTAATATTAATCACCTAAGAAAGGTTTTTGAGGGGGGAAGAAAGGAAGTGGATGAGACATCATTGTTCATGAGGATAGTGGTGAAGATGACTATGTGGGGGCTTGGATTGGGACTTCACTATATATTATATTTGGCAGATAATCAGTGCCCTTTTGTTACATTTCTTGTGTTTTTTTTGGCTTTTATATCATCAATTGAATGTTATAATTTGCATTTATAGTTTCTATTATTGATCATTGTCACGATATTCAGTTTTGGGCTTCTTCATTTGAATTCAAGTAAAGATAGGGATCTATTAAAATGATATAATATTCAAGTACCCAAAAATTTGAAATTGTAATTTAACCAGTTGTTTGCATCAAATATATTGGGCTTAGTACAATCGGGCTAGTGTAGGTAGTGTACCTTGCCACGCGAGGGTTACACATTAACACAGAGGCTGAGTTAAGATGGAAAGAGATGACAACAACCAACATGAATACAAAAAAATATAACACAACAAACAAGACAGTAATCAAGCCCACATGAAAAGACATGCAACCATAGCACTGAGCGTTACACAAAACGTAGTATCACATTTTCATTACACAGATACATTGCACTTCTAGATTTCCCATGACGCATGTCTGTATTCGAGACAAACAACTGTCGATTTTATATTTTTTTTATATAGTAAGAATCTGCTTTTACACTACAGAACAACAACAGCTATAAGTACATATGTAATTACATGGAGTTTATATATATTTACACATATGCGCATATATCACAGTGATTATTTAGTCTATGTATATTGTATATGATAAGGTCTTAATTAAGAGGGTTTAGTGAAACCTTAAAGTGGTGAATGAAAGGAATCCCAATTAGAATAGCCACCATTAATACAAGTACTAAACGGAGTAATATCATCATCTCCTTCATGGACCCATGGAAACCCTAACGACATTGTAGCTTCTTCCCATATAGAAGAATCATCCGTCACCGGTAAATCAACGTTTATATGTTCCCATGATATCTCCTCTGTTGTTCCCCATGATGACATCTCGTTGGATGAACTCGACTCCTCGTTGATGGACTCGCTGCTTTTTCCGCTGGTGTTGCTGCTTGGCGTATGGGTCGCCACTTGTGTTTCCTGGTAACTTCTTAAAGACTCAGGGAGGTTGAGGTGAGCCTCGGCCCCATAGAGCTTACGAGCTGCGGAGTCATAAGCCAAGGCAGCCTCGCGGGAGGTGTCGAAAGTACCTAGCCAAAGACGAGCTCCTCGGTTAGGCTCACGGATCTCAGCGACCCATTTGCCCCAAGTGCGTTGTCTTACGCCTTTGTAAGTGCAAGACGCGTTCTCGGGTCCACCTTTTCCTCTCATGCAGCCTTTCCTCGAACTAGCTTGGACCGTTTGTTGTTTTTTATTTGCACCAACCATCTTTACCTTTGGCTTTAGGGAGTGGATAAGGCAAAGACATGAGGGAATGTGTGTATATATATAGTGGAAGAGAGTGCTGAAACGTGGCAAGGAGGAGACATAGCTGGCCTAGACATGACGAAGGGTCGTGTCGAGAAGAGGAAGATATAGTGTTGTAATTGTAATCCTAACACTACACTTGTCTCGAGAGGCCCTTCTCTTTTTGGCAACAAAGATCGTAAAACCAGTAGACAGAGATCGAGAGATGAGTTTTAGATTCTCTAGTAAGAAAATAAAGATATGGATAAGGTCTTCCGTGATTGGGGAAATATAAAATATATCACTGAAACTAGGACCGGTGTGAACTCTTCATCCAATAATTAAAAAATTAAAATAAAAATATAAGTAATATAAAATAGTTATTTATGAAAAAATATAGCGGGTTATTACTTTTTACTAATAAACAAAAGCTATTGATATCCGTAAGAAATATTATTATATTATTTATTTTGAAACTAACATAAATATGCCTTTTGCAAATTAAATATCTGGTTATTTAGGATAATTATGAAAGATATATTACATGATTATCCTACTTCTAAATTCTGTGACATCTTATAATCTTTTGTACATCGAGTCACCAACTTTTTTCTAAGTTATCTGTTCTCTCTGCCTTTGAAGTTTTAACTGTCACGTGGAGTAACAAAGCAATACACAAGTAACGTATGCATGTATGAGTCAGTCATGTGGAGGCTAAGCGTACACGCATACAGGACTCGGGGAACGAAGTTGGCTCCTCGAGAGTCAAAAGACTCAAAACAAAGTTCACTGAATCTTTTCTCTCTATTTCAGGATACATTTGTGGTCGTGACACAAATGTATTTTTTTTAACTGATAACTACAAAGTTCCCTGGTTTCAAACATTTTTCCTTCTTTTCAAACAAAGATATTTTAAAAATCTAAGTAGGTAGAGAACTTTTGAAAGACTATTTTTGTGGAAACTGATAAACACCTCACAAAATCAACGTAATTGCAAAATTAATATGTAATAATATACTCCATTCGTTTTATATTAATTGTAGTTGTAGAGAAATTTTTGCGTTACAAAATAAGTGTCGTTTTCGGTTTTCAATGCAAGATTTATTAATTTTAGGTGTAATTTGTTTTTCTATTGGTTAAAATATGGTTAGGTGTATGGATAATTGTGTTTTTATATAGGAAATATGCAAAATTAATTGTTTTCTTAATCTGTGTGCACAGCTGTAGAGTGACACTTATAATGAAACGAGGGAGTAACATTTTGGCCAAAACTAACATTTTAGACAATCTTGTGTACTATGGAAGTTAATTAAATAGAATTTATTGTTTTTTTGGTCTAATAGAATTTATTGTTAATAATACAAGAAAACAGCAGGATTATTCAGCGTGGTTTATCTTTCTTATAAACTTACAAGATAGCGAAAAAAGTTGGGGAGTACACTTGTCCATGATCAGATAATAAATACTTAATAAGTAAATTTCTTTCTCGAAAAAATCATCAAGGTAAAATTTGTTGATTTTAACAGTGACCGTTAACTATAGAAATGGCATTCAGTTTCATTTTCTTGGAGAAAAGGAATGTGATTATTGCAGAAACGAATGTAATTGACATATATATTGTTATCAGTCTCTTCTTTTGCATATAAAGATTTTAATTAGCAGGTCTCTAGTTAAGCCCTTTTTCTCAAAAAAAAAGAGATTTTAATTAGCAGGTCTCTAATTAGCATTTTCATTCAGTCTTTTTGATGAAGGGTGGTCAGTCCATTCATTCTCTATGATGAATGATGGCATCAGTTTTTTTTTTTCAAATGAAATATGACTTTTCTCTAGCATCTAATCATGTGATTTATTATCTTTCAAAGTGGAACCGTCAAAGAGAATCTAGAGAAAGCAAGAGACCACGTAACGGATCAAATTACTCTCATTCAATTTTAACTTTTACCTATGTAAAGGGCCGGGCAATATGCTAATTCATGCATGTATGTTCATAGTTGATGTCTTGATGAGATAAGCTAGTGGGAAGAAGAAACTTAATAAAATTGAGACCAAATCTTAGACTTTATACAAATCTTGTATCACACGGCACCATCACAAAACACACGCACACATTGATCAAACAAAAATTGCTGCCAAAGAAAAATGAAACCATTATAAAAAATTACACATACAACATTCTTTTTCTTTCATTTTAAAAATTATCTAGAAATTAAAAACGTTCACAACGACTCGAATCCCGTTGGGGAATAGATGTAATGATCAGACAACACAAACATGTAAGCAATACAAATAACCCAAACAAATAAAAACCACAAAAGTCTAGGAGGCTTCCAGTTTCCAATCTCTCTCAAGACTCTTACGTGCTTGTAAAAACAAGACCCGACAGAAATGGCGAAAAGCGCTAAAGATGCTACTAGAAAGCCATCAAACTCATCGTCTTCGTAATTGCAAAACATTATCTTCAGAACCATCACGACCGGGTAAGTAGAGAGGCTAACAATGTTAGCGGTCATGATCGAGTCAGCAGACACAACAAGGCCCACACTCTCAACGTTCGAGGTTACGATGGAGTCCACGAACAAAACAAGCCCTACAAGCCCCACCCAGTAGATCTGCCACGAGACAGCTTGACCAATTATTGTCATAATGTAGACACTCTTCCCTTTAGAGAAACCATCCATCTCTCTCGTTAGGTCAATGTTCTCGTCGGGGATGAAAACGGATGCAACGGTGGCGAAAAGAGACGAGAAGATAAGCAGTTCAAGAACGTATGTGAATCTTGGTTTCTTGTTCTTGCTATTGGTAACGAAGTTGTGGAATATGACATGTATGTTACTGAGGAGAAAGGAGAAAGTGATGGCTGATAATAAAGCCGAACACTCACCGTCTACGTTAAAGGATAGAACGGTGATGGCGAGAGTGAAGATGAGCGAGATGACAATCCATGTATTGAATCTGATTCTGTTGACTAAGCCTGCGAAGAGTGTTGTGAAGTAGAGCTGTGTTCCTTCATAGAGAATGAACTTTGTAGATGGTATCTCGAGTTTACCCTTAGTGTATAGTTTTATATGAACCACCATGGTTACACCGGTACATAGGTAAAGTAGGGCGAGGGAAGATGGATTGGAAGTAATGAGAAGTTGGTTGTGTTTCTTGGAAGAGAAGAAAGGGAGAATGAGGAGAGGGAAGCCGATGACATGGAGCAAATGTTGAGTCCAGATGCCGTCTTGGAGGCTCCAGTAAATGTTGTGGTGGTGGTAGAATGTCTCAAGGAGTCTGGCGATGGATTGACCTGTGATGGCCAAAATGATGCAAATGATGATGCTTGTCCGGTTTGATCTTCCGGTTTGGTTTGTTAGTGTGGTTGAGTTGTGGTCTTCCTTGTTGTTGTTGATCGGAATATGCACAATTTGTTCTGCATCGAAAAAAGGAGAAACATGACTAAAAAGTTGTGCATGATAATGAGACAACATTCATGAAACTCTTGGTAGAAGAATCTGCTTGTGGTTTGGTTTGTAACGGCTCGTTATCTCCCATGATGTATCTAATTTAAGGATGTCAGTAATAATTTTGATTCCGAACAAGCTTTTTGTTTAAGGAACAGATGATTAGTGTTGTGTTTTGGATGATGTTTGCGCATTTATATATTAAAGAATAGTCAGACCATTACGCCGTCAAAGTATGTATATCATGTTTGACTATTACTTGGTCTGACTTGGTTTAGTTACACCTTGCAAGCCAAGCATCATATAGAATTTCATGATAATCTTATTGACTTGGAACTTTGTTTTAAGGATGATTTTGACTCCGACATATGACATTTTCCGTGAACCAGAAGAAACCTTGTCTTCGTGCCAAAGAGTTTCTTGGTATTATTTAGTTGAAATCACATTCAGTATATTTTTTTTTTGTTAATAACTCATAGCATTGTTGACCAGTGAAAATAATTGAGCCACTGAGGTAAAACATTTGACCTTGAGTACTTTAACCTTTTTATTCTTTGATTAAGGGTCAAAGAAAATATATTGATTTCTAATCATATCATAATCTCTCTGCATTTTATCTAGTTGAGTTTTATACTTTGTGTGTTTCCAATAAAACTGAATCATTTATACATTATATTTTAATATATGTTTTTTTAAAAATAAAATGTTTGCAACCCATTTTGAAACATTCAACATACTAATTCAACTTCCTGTATTCTGGATTGGAACTACAAGAAGGCTTCAAAATTACAATTTTAAAAATTTAGGGGATTTTATAACTGATGCTTGCAAGACAAGCCTACCGTGATTCATATTGCTTCTGTTATATACCGTTTCATGCGATTTGATGCAACTCAGGCGAGTTCCAACCTTCTAGTATAAATATACGATGACAGCAACCCATACAATTTGACAAATCAAGGACCCATTACCCATACAACAATCAATTGTACTCTAAATTCCAGAGCAAAAAATGTATCACGGCCCATCAAAAGCCTCAGCAATTTAACTCGATAGAAGAAGCATCATAAAAGAGTAGTTTGACTCATTGAATAAACACACCAACAACACTAGACTAGACTCACATCCTTTTTTGTTGAATATATGATCTTATGATCTTCAGAGAAAAAAAGAGACTCACATCCTGGTAAACCTTGAACCCTCCAATGACCCATTCTTAGATCATAAAACCAGTCATCAAATGCCAACACCTAGAGGCAACCCTTGCTCAAGCAGTGAACTCACATTTTTTTTTCATAAACATTTGTACATTCAATTACTGACATGGAGAAAACATATATATCAAACTGCATAATAGATTCAGAAGTTCTATGTACTACCAGTAGATATTATCATCATCATCATTACTCACTAAGAGGACGAAGGGAAAACATCTTTGACAGCAGAAGCAGCAGTCAAATAATTAAGCGTATTCCTCAACGTCTCTCTTTCCCTCTTCAACCTCGCAGCCGTATCCTCCAACTCCAACAACGCTTGCTGCTCCCTAGGCGCACCTTCAAACGTGCTCCCGACAAAGAACGAGAAAGGTGTCGGAAACTGATTCCTCCTCAAATCCTGCACCTCCTTCTCACCCTTCCCATTCAACCTATTCGACAACCTAATCACTTCCTTCATCAAAACCTCCACCTCACCCGCCAACGCGTCAAGATTCTCTTCCCCAGAGGGACGATCCTCAAGCCACGTCACCTCTCCGACAAGATAAGGCTTTGTCCGAACAAGATTCGTGACACGAAACCTCTCTTGTCCTTTGCATATCAAAAAGAACCTGTCGTCGACTAGCCTCTCGTGCTTGACGACCTCCCCGACGCAGCCGACCTCAGCGGCGGTGCCGGAGACGGCGTCGGAGTAGACGACGCCGAAACGGAGGTCGGAGTCGAGGAGGGTTTGCATCATGATGCGGTAACGGAACTCGAAGATCTGGAGAGGGAGGATTGCTCCGGGGAAGAGGACGAGAGGGAGAGGGAAGAGAGGAAGCTCCACGACGTCGTCGGGTTTTGGAGTGTTGTTAGCGTTGTGATGCTTCTCGGAGAAGGAAGAGGAGGAGAATCGGAAGGAGGTGAGTTTACACCTTCGGAGATTACTATTAGTACGTAACGGTGAGAGAGGAGGTTTTGGTGTGAAAGAAGGAGACGGAGATAACGAAGTTGAAGATGGTGTTGAAGAGAGTATGTGTGGAAGCGCCATTAGAGAGGAGAGGAAGAAGAAAAAAAAAAGTTTTTAAATTCTTGAAAAGTTTTATTTAAATTTGTGAGTTTAAATAAAAAAGATAAAAAGATGTAATAATTGGCATGTCACGTTTATTAGAGATGTTTGAGTGATTGCGTTTTTTTTTGGTGGATAATAAATGAGAGGAGAGGAATAAGTTAAGAATCTGGTTGTGGTTTTTGAATATTCTACGAGTTTAGTTATCCATTTGGATAATTATTTATATGCCACGTGCTTTATTAGATACCTCACATAGAATCAGCAACATGGATTCAATGAGATGTTTGTAAGACAGAATTGTTTCAAAAAAAAAAAAGTTTGTAAGAAGAAGACAGCCACTGAAAATCAGAGAAGCGGATATGGCATGGACTTTACTAAGTGATAGGCATGAAGCCCATTTAAGTCAAGCCCACCTTTTTAACGGCTAAATTTTTTTAGTAAGATGTTTAATATCGACTGATAAAGAAAAGAGAAACATAACACAGGTTCCACGCCATCTAACTCAATCCATAGTAATGTCACAGTTGTGTCCCTTCTACTTTACTTTTTTTTATCTCTACTCTTTCAGAAACCAGCATTGTAATGTCCCTTAGATATCTTCTATTAGTATTGACCAAATTTGGATACTAAGATCATTTCGAACATATGGTTTCATTCTCTAAGAAGGCCTTTGCTATGGTATCTGAGCAGGATGTCTATGTCAGAGCAACATTATTAGTAAGTATACTAATTTGGAGATCTAACCAATAAAGAAACAACATTTAAATGATTTTTCACTAAATTTTTAAGGTTTAATTTCTGTAGAAAATATTGATATATGGGAAACAACATGTGGCAAGTTCTCGCAAAGACTTTGCAGAAAACCTCAGCTACTTCTTTTTCCTATTTTTTTTATTTGTAAATTTATTTAAACTGAGATACTTGCTCTAAACCTACTGATTGATATAGATTGATTTAGTATTGCTAAATTAAAATTAGGTTTTGAGAATTCTCTTTTTAGAATTTTATCAAAAACTTTATAGGATTTCTCAGAGTACTTTTTTTGGTTGAAATGAAGCTGCTTGAAACCTCTCTCATCATCATATTATCAATTTTCTATTTTAGTAAGTCAAAAATGTATAAGAAAACTAAAAAACTCTAGAACCCCCTTAAATTAAACATAACTATTTAAATCTACAAATAATTAATTAAAATAAAAGAGATATTTTTACAATATCTTACTAATTCATAATTTATTTATTGCAATTAGATTATATCTGATTATGCAACTCATGAAACCATAATAATACTTCAAAAACACCAATCAATCATAATAGCTTCATTTCTCTTCGTTTGATAAAATTTATTCGCAGGTTATGTAGAAACCTTGAGCAAACGCTCGCAAACGACCTGGAATCATTACCTTCCTTGGTCGGCCATTGGGCCTCAGATTCAGCTCCATCAAACTGGGCATGGCTTCTTCGTCGATCTGCAACTCATGTAAGGTGACATTGATCAATTCAAATTTCCTGAGCAGACCAAAACCTTGTGCTCTGATTCTCATATTCCCTTCCGGCCATTGACAATCTTTAAGGACAAGATCTTCCAGTCTTGGAAGTTTCTGCAAAGCAGGCATTAGGTCTTCCTCTAGCTCTGACCCGACAAGTGTCAGACTCTCAAGACTGGGAAACACTAAACCCATGACTTTAACTGCCTCTTCTGACTTAGAAGTTAACGTGAAGGCTTCGACCTCTAGCTTAAGGACACGAAGATGCGTCAGTTTAGAGAAGGAAGCCCAGTCCACAGGAGCTGTTCTATTCACCGGCTTGGAATCATTAATTTCTAGTTCCCGAAGATTTTGGAGAAACTCATGTTTTAGTATGCTCCAGCTGTAAGAAGAGATGCACCTCAAGGTCTGAAGGTTAACAGCTTTGCCTATCATCAGTTTCCCGGTGAATCTTCCCATGAGATGCCTCAGTGATGTGAGGTTAGACAGATCGGTTGTTTGTTCAAACTTGTTGGAGTAGCCAGATGCATCTAGCGTCTGTAGAATCTGTAAGTTGGAGATTGTAGCTGGTAAACATCTAAGACCAGTATGAGCGATCCCAAGGTACCTCAAGTGAATTAACTCCCCTATCACATCCGGTAAACTCAATGAGATACTTCCTTTGCATACAAACTGAAGCCCTCCGAGATTAAGCACCCGAAGTAGATTCAGTTTCAAGGTAATGGCGTCAACATAGCTTTCCAGCGTTACCCCCTTCCGCTCTCCGAAGAACAAGAAGGATCGCATCTGTTTGTTAACACGTCTGTCGCACAAGTAGTCGCTGTTCATAAGTTGGTGAACCACTTCTCTTCTGTAGTTACTAGAAGAAGAGGAAGTCTGCTTCTCGTTATAAACGTGTACGAAATTAAGCTCCTTTGCTTTCTTGATAGCCACGTCCCTAAGAAGATCATGGACTCTACAAGACAATACTTTTCCTCTTCTTCCTATTACTTCAGCTTTCACCAAACATCTATCTATTAGCTCTTCGATATAATACCGAGCCGTGTCTTCCATCGTCATCTCATCATCCTCTTGTGCAAAACCTTCCGCTACAAGTAAGTGTATCAGCTTCTCCACATCGATCTTATAGTCCTCAGGAAAGATGCTAAGATAGAGAAAGCAAAGTTTCAACTCGTGTTGCATCTCCTTGAAGCTTAGATCAAACACAGTGGAGATGTGAATAGAGTTGTCCTTTAGTCTTCGCCATAAACACGCACACATATCAGTCCACTCGCTGGGCCTCTTCCTTGACAAAAGCCCAGCAAGAACAACAATAGCAAGCGGTAACCCACTGCACTTTCTAACCATTTCTTTACCCATCTTGTTTAGATCTTCGTTGACACTGCCACATGGCATATTCCTAAATGCTTTCTGTTCAAACAGCTTCCAGCTTTCTTCAAACGTCAAGAACCTTAACTTATGGGCGTAGACTCTCTCGTCCACACCTTCAGCCACGGCTTTGATACGCGTAGTGATGATGACTCTGTTTCCGTTGCTATTACATGGTAACGCTCTCTTTAAGCTGTCCCACGCTTCTCTCTCCCATATATCGTCTACCACTACCAAATATCTTTTCCCTTGTAGACGGCTATAAAGGTAAACTTCCAACTCCTCCTCTGCATACATCCTCATCTTCTCGGTTTCTTCTGCTGAAACTACTCCCAGAGATCTTATGATTCTCATGAGTATATCTCTTGTTTTATACTCTTGAGAAACGTAAGTCCACGCGCGGTATTCGAACCTTCTCTTCACATTCCCCGAGTTGTATAGCTTCCTAGCAAGAGCAGTCTTTCCGAGACCTCCCATGCCGAATATGGAAATCATATATCTCTTTCTATCTCCATCATCATCAGCAAGAAGCTTTTCCAAAAGAATCTTAGCATCGTCTTCCAGACCAACTACAAGCTCTTCCTGATCGATAGATCTAGCACGTCGAAGTTCCCTCACCCTCAAACTTGAAACATTCCCTCCTTCTCGAGGAGGCTCACTCAAGTTGCCTATGCCGTAAGTCTCACGCTTGCGAGTTAAGGCCAAGATTCTTCTCTTGAGGCTTCTCATCTCATTAACGATACTGTACGCATCCATCTTCCTTCCTATTTTGTTGGTCAATCTCTTCAACCCTTCCCTTTTTGATCTTTCTACAAACTTCCGCTCATAGCTGTACAAAACATCTTCAACGTCATAAGCTATTTCTAAAACAAGCTTTGTCCACTCTTTAGACACCTCATCTTCTCTTTCACGAGCTTCAACGTCCTTTAGATAACCTTGTATACACCTCAACTCAGTCTTCAGGTCATCTAGCTCGTCTTTGACTCGCATCAACATCGACGCTTCTTGGATTACATAGTTGCCGATCTTTCCCACCACGAACTCTGTGATCGCATCTACCATTCTCTACACGATGCAAAATGCACACGAAGACTTTTTGAATGTTTGTTTTGGGTCTTCGCTGGCTCCAGTAGTAGACTAGATCTGTTTTCTCTCAACACGAATTTTAGGCCTCTCATCTACGCTGTAACATTCGGACTATTCTTCTCACAAGTCACAACATGCTGACTTTTCTTCTTAGAATTCACACGTTAGATGGACCTATGCTAGGTGCTAATTATGCGCTTTGTAAGAGCATGATTATCGGGTAGTATCTTCCCAAAAGATTTTAAGTAATTTATTATTAATAACTTTTTTTATGATTTAGTTTTTTTTTTTATGATTTAGTTTAAATTTTAAAAGATAATTCTCTCTAATCATTTTGTTTAGCTTTTATCACAAAAATAGTATTCAAAAGTAAAATAATCAAAATAATAAACGAGGGGAGAGGAACAAGTTTTGAATATTCTACGAGTTATGTTATCCATTTGGATAATTATTTATATGCCACGTGCTTTATTAGATACCTCACATAGAATCAGCAACATGGATTCAATATTTCAATGAGATGTTTGTACGACTGAAGTCTGAAGAAGACAGCCACTGACAAAAAAAAGGGGAAGCAGGATATGGCATGGGCTTTACTAAGTGATAGGCATAAAGCCCATTTAAGTCAAGCCCACCTTTTTAACGGCTGAATTTTTTTAGTAAGAGTGTTTAATATTTGACTGCTAAAGGAAGATCAACAAATTAGCTATCTACCCTATTTTTGTTTTTTAGTAAGAGTGTGTAGTGCTCTGTTTACCATTGTACCCCTATACAAGATAAAGCTTTGTTTGTATCGACAAGTTATTCTCTCTCTTTCTTATTTTCTTCTGTTAACTATCTACACACGCTACCTAAGCTATTGTGTTCGACAGAATATTTGCATTTGTAAACAATCAATGATAACGCATGTTAGCAGGCTAACGCACNTTTAGTAAGAGTGTGTAGTGCTCTGTTTACCATTGTACCCCTATACAAGATAAAGCTTTGTTTGTATCGACAAGTTATTCTCTCTCTTTCTTATTTTCTTCTGTTAACTATCTACACACGCTACCTAAGCTATTGTGTTCGACAGAATATTTGCATTTGTAAACAATCAATGATAACGCATGTTAGCAGGCTAACGCACACACGAATACCAAACTGTCTTTAAAACCAACTAATTTACCGTTTTATTTGTACATGATCAGCTACTTATTAGCTGTGCTAAACATTTCGAATACATATATACAAACTATATTAGCAAGATAAACAGAATCAAATACTCAACTATTTTTTTTTCCAAAACCGGTCAATTATGTTTTTTTGGTTATGAGTCTAATCAGCTAACATTAGCAGTGTTAAACTTTATATTTGCATGTGTAAGTTTTAACAATTAGCATGCTAACGCACACTTGAATACCAAATTGTCTTCAAATAATTTGGGCTCCAAAATCCATTAAGTTTTAGGATGTTAAAACCCAATTAGACATAAATAAAATGCCGTCGTAACTTGTATGTGTAGGTTTTAACANATTACTAACCCCCCAATTAAAAATAAAACTTGTTTAGGGTTCTATTGCCTACTTCTTCTTTCGTCCCTACTCTTTTTTCTACACAATAAAATGTCATGAGGTTAGTATGGTAATTCTGTCCAAAATCCAATCCCCACAAAAACTTGAATTGTGCATTCACCTAATTATACACTTCTTATAGGATTTTGGGCAAATTCACTCAAGAGAAACATAACACAGGTTCCACGCCATCTAGCACAATCCATAAGTGAGTTGTGTCCCTTCTGCTTTACGTTTCTGACCTCTACTCTCCCAGAAACCAGCATTGTAATGTGCACTGGACTCAAGTTTCTTCGCTTCGCCTAGCTTTTTTACAGCCTGAAAAAATGTTTTTATGATCATAAGAAGACAACATTGCTACAATACAAACGTTATATAATATTAATTAGCAGTAACTTACTGACCTTGATGAAATCGTTGGAGACAACGTAATCTTGCCCTGCACGTAAAGCTATCATCCCTGCTTCATTACATATGTTACACATATCTGCTCCATTGAATCCCTGTATAAGACAAGTTTTATCAATGCAAAACTTTTGTTCTGTTTTGCTTAAAACAAAGGTGTAGACTAACCTCAGATAGCTTCACGACCTTTTCATAGTCGATATCTCCTTGTTTAGTAATACAAGAAGCATGAATCCTAAGGATTCTCATCCTAGAATCTTCATTAGGCAATGTGAACTCTATCTTCTTATCGATTCTACCAGGTCGAAGAAGCGCAGGGTCAAGAACATCAGGTCTATTTGTTGCCATTATCACTTTCACCTAAAGTAAAAAAATCATTAGACACATTGCTCATCAGAACTTACAAGATGCAATCATGCAATCATGCAAGAAGAAGATACCTTATCAAGTTCTTTGAATCCATCAAGTTGAGAGAGAAGCTCAATAAGCACTCTGTCACATTCACTAGAATCTCCTTTTCCGTATGTGGATCTATGTCTACCAATCGCATCAATCTCATCCATAAAGATGATGCATGGCTACATAACAACCAGAAGAAAATTTTAACCTTACAATACAAGTCATCACAACAACAAGTATAGTGAGCAAGAAAGAGAGCTTACTTGATGTTCACGAGCATATTTAAACATCTCTCTCACCAACAATGAACTATCTCCCACGTCTTTGCTAACAAGCGCACTAGAAACAACCTAAGGAAACAAAAATATATCGTAAAACTATAAGTAACATAAACTATAAGTCTCTAACTCTAACACTAACCGTCAAGAAAGTTGAGTCGATATTGCTAGCGAGTGCACTTGCTAAAAATGTCTTTCCAGTACCAGGAGGTCCATAGAGAAGCACTCCCTGTTACATTAAGGTCAACATCAAAATAATGAATCATTTTAGCAGAATCTAAATAAAGTAAGAATTGAGTCAAAATCCAAACCTTGGGAGGCTTTACTCCAACTCGTTCATACATGTCAGGATCCATGAGAGGACGTTCAATATAGTCTCTTAGATCGTTGAGTTGATGAGACCCACCAAGATCTGAGTAACTAACATCATCACGATGTTGATGCACCATCTTACAAACCAATGGTTTAGCCTTAGGAGGGAGGATTCTCATTATAGTAAACGTTCTTCTCTGAAGAGTAACTCTGGTTCCAGATACAAGCTTCGATTGATCCATTAACCTTGAGAAATTCACTACGTGACGAACTCCTTCGTCTACTTCCACAATAACTGAGATCAAAAACTGTATAAGCGACAAGAACCAAAAAAATCAAGAAAATCAAGAACACGAGTTGAGAATAGTTTGTTACATCTTTCTTGGTCTAGAGGTTGCACGACTTCTCCAACAAATTGTGCATGAGTAGTGGTAAAGTACTTGACCTCGTCTCCAGATTCTTTGAGCCTTATCTTTAAAGCTTCCCAATACGCTTTTCCTGCATCAGAAACACACATTCTTGGAACACAAGGCATTGAAACTTAGATGGAAACTTAGGGTTTTAGAAAAGGAGTATAGACCAGCTTTGATTCCTTCTTGTAAGCTGTTGCGCAAGTCAAGTTCAAACTCGTACATATCAATGGCGTCGCTTCTACGCTCTTTCTCTACTTCTTCGTCTTCCATGGAAGAAGCCATATACAAAATGCCTTTGAAATTACACAAATCAAGAAGACTAAAATAAAGCTTTTATAACTGAAACTTTTTGACGTATTACATCCCGCTATTTTACGTATATTTGACTTATGACCCCAAAGATTTTGGTTATATCAGTTCAACAAACCCAAGAGATACACATATTCCAACGCACTTTACTTTCAGATTTCAGAAGCTATAAAACTAATCTCAAGAAACATGGTTTTTGAATATCCCACGAGTTATGTTATCCATTTAGATAATTATTTATATGCCACGTGCTCTATTAGATACTTCACATAGAATCAACAACATGGAGTCAGTGAGTGAGATGTTTGTGAGACTGAAGAAGATGCCCTGAAAAACAGAGCAAAGGCAAGCAGGATTTTTCATGGGCTTTACAAAGTGCTAGACCTGAAGCCCATTAACTCATGTATGAAGCCCATCTTCTCAACTTAGCTGTAATGGAACTTTAGCAGATTAAAATTAGTGATTGATATCAAAGATAAACGAAAAGTAGCCGCTGATAATATATTTTTCCTGATGTATATATATGATCTATTACTATTAGTACCATAGAAATTAGGTTTGGGTATTTTGTTACTAAGGTTTAAAAAAAAGTTATAGAAGATTTACTTTACCCAAATTTTTTAGTTTAGTCCTTTTTTACATAATGGCTTAACCCCGTTTAATATTAAAAAATATACAATAAACAAACCTTGAGTAATGTTTCTGCTTTATGCTTCTCAAATATGCTTTGATGCTATTGGTAGCTAAAGGTATCAAACTGGTTTATAAATGAAAAAAATAGATGTACAGAGAAGAGATATTCATCAGATGAATCCATGCAAAGAAAAACACAACAGAGGTTCCACGCTATCTAACTCAATCCATAAGTGAGTTGTGTCCCTTCTACTTTACGTTTCTGATCTCTACTCTTTCAGAAACTAGTATCGTAGTGTGCACTGGACTCAAGTTTCTTCGCTTCAACTAGTTTTGTTACAGCCTGAAAAACATGTTTAAGTTATGATCATAAGAAGAAAACATTGTTACAACTTTATACAATAAAGCATAAACTTGCTTACCTTGATGAAATCGTTGGAGACTACATAATCTCGCTCTGCACGTAAAGCTAACATCCCTGCCTCGGTACATACGTTACGCATATCTGCTCCATTGAATCCCTGTAAAAGAAAAGTTTTAAGAGTAAAACTTTTTGTTCATGTTTTGCATAAAACAAACACAAAGATATTAAGGTGTAATTTTGACTAACCTCAGATAGCTTCACGACCTTTTCATAGTCGATATCTCCTTGTTTAGTAATACAAGAAGCATGAATCTTAAGGATTCTCATCCTAGAATCTTCATTAGGCAATGTGAACTCTATCTTCTTATCTATTCTACCAGGTCTAAGAAGCGCAGGGTCAAGAACATCAGGTCTATTTGTTGCCATTATAACTTTCACCTAAAAAAAAAAAAAAAATCATTAGACACATTGCTCTTCAAAACTTACAAGATGCAATCATGCAAGAAGAAGAGACCTTATCAAGTTCGTTGAATCCATCAAGTTGAGAAAGAATCTCAATAAGAACTCTGTCACATTCACTAGTTTCTCCTTCTCTGTTGGTGGATCTACGTCTACCAATAGCATCAATCTCATCCATAAAGATGATGCAAGGCTATATATAACCAAAAGAAAAACTCAGCTTATATCCACAAGGAAACAATACAATCAACACAAGTAGTGAGCAAGAAAGAGAGCTTACTTGATGTTCACGAGCATATTTAAACATCTCTCTCACCAACAATGAACTATCTCCCACGTATTTTCTAATAAGCGCACTACAAACAACCTAACAAAAAAAAAAAACTATCTTAAGACTCTAACTAACATAAACTATATAAGTCTCTTAACACTAACCGTCAAGAAAGTTGAACCAATATTGCTAGCGATTGCTTTGGCTAACAATGTTTTTCCAGTACCAGGAGGTCCATAGAGAAGCACTCCCTGTTACATAGTTCAACATAATGAAATCATTTTTGAAGAAAACCTAACCAGAATGAGTCCAGATCCAACCTTGGGAAGCTTTACTCCAACTCGTTCATAAATGTCAGGATCCATGAGAGGACGTTCAATATAATCTCTTACATCTTTGAGTTGATTAGTTAACCCACCAAGATCTAAGTAACTAACGTCACCACGATGTTGATACACCATCTTATGAATCAACGGATTAACCATAGAAGGGAGGATTCTCATTATAGTAAACGTTCTTCTCTGAAGAGTAACTCTGGTTCCAGAAACTAGCTTCGACTGATCCACTAAGCTTGAGCAGTTCACTATGATACGAACTCCTCCGCCTACTTTCACAATAACTGAGATCAAAAAAAAAAAAAAAACTGTATAAGCGACAAGAAGCAAAAAAAAATCAAGAAAATCAAGAACACGAGTTGAGAATAGTTTGTTACATCTTTCTTTGCCAAGAGGTTGCATAACTTCTCCAACCCATTCTGGATGAGTGTTGGTAAGGTAATTGAGTTCGTCTTCAGTTTCTTCGAGCGCTATCTTCAAAGCTTCCAGATTCTCTTTTTCTGGATCAGAAACACGTTAAACTTGGAGCGCAAGCAATAGATGTAAAATTTAGGGTTTAGAAAGGAGTATAGACCAGTTCTGATTTCTTCTTGCTCTCTGTAGCGAGCGGACAAAAGATACATGTACTCAACAATGGCTTTGATTCTCCTCCCTATCTCTTCTTCTGCGTCTTCCGTGGAAGCCATTATACAAATGCCTTTGAAGTTGCACTCGAAGTCAAGAAGACGAAAAGCTTTTATAAACACACCTGAAACTTTTCTTTTAGTAAAAGCTTTTGCAATTCACGCCGTTTGATGATACTCGTGAAGAAAGTCTTGACGTTTTGTTATCCCTCTGGGCCAGGGAGAAGGTTAGCGAGGAGAATTTTCCCCTGCGTTTGCCTTGTATAATGGGCTTTAGAAAGGCTTTAAATTTTCTTAAGACAAGCCCTATGCTTACCACATTCACTTAGCATTTACACAAAAATGGTGGCATTTACATGTACGTCGAAAAGAAGAATCTAAAGACAAGCCCTATGCTAACCACATGATCTAAGAAGCTACTGGGAAGCAACATACGATCCTTTTGAATAATATGTTCAAAGTACATGGTCTGTACTCTATACTTTGTAGTACTATAGATGTGATAGTTTTAAACGTACCAGCAATTATAACGTGATCATTTGTCATATATATACGTTTTCCTTGATATTAAGATATATTCGTTCGAGTCATCCACAAGTTATAATATTTTCACATATCATGTATCCTTTAAATTTCATTAACTCTTGTATATCTTTGTAATCTATCTGATAGTCTATCAAGAAGCATCACTATATCAACACAGCTTAAAAAAACACATTGTAGTTCCTGATATATGTTCATGTTTTTGAGTCTAAGTATTGGTTCACAAAATTTTTTCTATGAAAATCTCAAATTTACAAACTGTCAAATTCATCAACTAGAATTCTAAAATAATTATTCATACTTGATTGGTAACATTTGTAGTAGCTATGACTTACATTTATAACCTAAGTTACTAAGAATATTGCAAACTAGTGAACCACGAATCATTCATTTAATAAGGCAACAGTTAATAGAACGAGTACAGCTTATGCAAACAAAAGCTGTTAGCTTTTTACTCGCCATTTCCTCATTTAGTACTATCATCATCATCATCATCAAGCAAAATCGATTCATCACCGTCTGAAGTTGAATCTTTTTGTCAATATTATTTCAAAACTCATCGTAATTTGCTTTAGAAAATCACATTCATCTAACCTATTTTAAAGTATTTAATCCTTATAATGTATCTATTGATCCCATATTCCACCTGCCAGTTACCAACTCTACATTAACAAATTAAGTTGTTTATCCAAAGAAAGCAAATAATACACTCATGAATCAAAAATACATATAATAATTTTGTTAAAACATTGATTCTCCTCAAAAGGTTTATGTCGGTTGTTCCAATCTACAACAATGCGAGACTCGATAAATTTATAAAATAAAGATCTATAACAAGTTATATAGGAGGAAAATTAAAATAGACATTTATTATTATGGCCACAAAGCCGTTCGTTGGCTTTCCTTGCGTTAGCGTCCACAAGGCAACCTAGCGGCCAAGTCTTTTGTTTTTGGCCACTATCACCAACCATTGCTTCCAACACATTTATCACCAACCCTTGCGTCCAACACATCTACCTTATTTATTTCTTTTTAATCATTTCTTCTATAAATTTTATTATTATTTATTACACAACCTCCATGGATCCCTTTGAATAAAAGGTCTACCTATTAGAAAGCTCAAATTTATTCAATTTTTTATTGTTAATAAATACTCTTCCCTCTATATATCTAATTGTTTATGAGTACGTAGTGCTTTTTCCTCATGTCATATATCACTTGATGAAGTTAAGAAAATGTGTTTTTTGTTAGTGAAGTAATTGGGTAGTCACCAACTGGTTGTTAAGGCCATTTAATCCCTCAGTTAAGCAATTGAGCAGACACACTTCTTCATCAAACAACACTTCTGACAAATCAAATTATCAAGGTTTAACTTCACACAAAAAAACTATTAAAACCCTACCTCCAGGGATAGTTGTGTAATTTGGCTCTTTAATATTTAAGACTATATTATTGTTTTGTTGATATGTTCTACATTTTGTATTTATTATTAATTATATAAAAACAAAAATCCTGATAATGGAGTTAAGTAATTCCCACCTTTGCACGTCACTTACAGAAATGTGTGCCCTATGTATTACGCGGACAAAACACGTATAACTAAACAGTATAATATACGCCTAAATGTTTATTTGAATGTAGTTAGATAGTTTTATAGAGAGTTTTTGTCATTATGATATCCTTAACAATTATGTACCAGAGATTAGTTATGAAGTATCATGCCACGTAACACATGTTTCATGCTCGCTTATAAACAAGGATTCGCAATTATTTACTAAATAAAAACATATCTTGTTGGCACTACTAACCTTTGATTCAATAAGCACAACCACAACTAATCTGAGATGCCTTTAGTTAACTAATCAATTAAGCATTGGTGGAACAAATTTAATGGTAAAACAATGCAGCGGTTGCTTGAATTTATGTCCAAGCCATTGAACTTCTAAACAAAACAAAAAATAGGATACGAAATTCAACTCTTTTCTTCTTCATTTTTTTAAAAAAGGTTTTCATTATTTGTTGTTTATTCTTTTCGTTTGAATATATATAAGCACCAAGTCAAGTCAATGACCACACAGTATTTATTTCTATTCAATAATATTAGTTTGAAATATAAATGAGTATAAAAGTAGCATTTGTAAAAATATTCTATTATCTATAATAATCCAAACAGAAAACAAAAAATAATGAATTTTATGCTCACACGTGGTATTCTCTGGTTGGCACAGAGAAACCCCCCAATATAAATTTGATATAGAAGCTTCGGTCTGAATAAAATTCAATAAAGAATTACTGGTAGAGATTGTCAATATTTTTCTACATATTATTATGGTATTGGTTGATACTTCCTAAAAATACTTTGTTAATAATTATTAAAAATATGGAGTTTGTTGTCTATGTTCCAATGATAAGATGGGTTGGTTCGGTTCTCCGTGAGTGACCAAAAGAAAAAAAAAATATTTCTTTATAAAAGAGAAAGAATATTTGTTTATAATAATTGCAATTATTAATATCTAAAATCTCTTGGGATTGGTTGTTTCTTCTGCTTCTTCTTCTCTTTTTGTCTTCGACTGTTCGAAGTTCTTCTCTTTTCCTGTTTGTTCCCTGATTCATCCACATCCACAATCTCTCTTTTGTAGGATTCTCTCTCAGGTTATCATTAATTTATTATAAAAACATGTTCTTGGTTTCTTGATTGAAAGCTATGATTGATCTGTACTTTCTTGTTTTTTTTTTTGTTTAAAAGTTTTTTCCTTTTTTGAAAAGAAACTATCATCTTCTCCTTGTTACCACCGTTTATGAAAGTATGAAATCATCAGAAACAACATAAAAGCAAAACTTTCATGATTTCATCATCTTCTTGCGTCACTAAAAATTGAAGTGGAAAACTCTACTCCGTATAAAGATCATTAGGGTTTTAATTATTTCCTAAATTAGAAATTTCTGGATTTCATTTTCATGAATTTTTCATCTGTAATTGCGGCTTGAAAGAATACGATGTGTTAACAACCTCTAAAGATTATTCCTTTTTATTTATCAAGAATCAAACTAACACGTCTCTCTCTCATTCTCTTACAGGGAAACTCTTTTTCAGACAAAACTTCAAACCGTATGATACTTCTTGTAATAACAACATAAAAAAAAAAAATCACATGGCAGTTTATTACCAAACTAGTGTCGGCATGCAATCTCTCTACCAAGAAGAACCCATCTATCTCCACGAACAACAACAAGCTTCCTCTTCCTCCGCCGCTTCTTTCTCCGGCGCCGGCGCCGGAGTAAACTATCTCGAAATCCCAAACTCTGTACCAAACGAGATGGTCTTTATCCCACCAACGAGCGACACATCTCTCAACGGAAACGTAACTGTCTCAAGCAACGATCTAAGCTTCCACGGTGGTGGCCTCTCCTTAAGCCTCGGTAACCAGATCCATTACCATTACCAGAACCTCTCAAACCAGTTCAGTTACAGTAATGATGAGAACGTGAAAAGCTTGAGTCATACTCATCATCATCAAGTTCCTTCCTCTGGTTATTACAACAATGGGTTTGTAAGTAGTGTCTTAAGATCTCGTTACCTTAAACCAACACAACAGTTGCTAGAAGAAGTCGTTAGTGTCAAGAAAGAGAGTAACAAGAACAAAGGTCAAGACTTTACTAATGGGTCTAAATCTAATGACACCAACAACACAGAGAACGAGAACTTGTCTCCTTCAGAACGTCAAGAGCTACAGAGCAAGAAGAGCAAGCTATTAACGATGGTAGATGAGGTAGACAAAAGATACAACCAATACTACCATCAAATGGAAGCTTTAGCTTCCTCTTTTGAGATGGTTGCTGGTCTTGGAGCAGCTAAGGCTTACACATCGGTGGCTCTGAACAGAATCTCTAGACATTTTAGATGTTTGAGGGATGCGATAAAGGAACAGGTTCAGGTGATTAGAGGGAAGCTTGGGGAGAAAGAGTGTAGTGAAGAGCAAGGAGAGAGGATACCAAGATTAAGGTATTTGGATCAGAGGTTGAGACAGCAGAGAGCTTTGCATCAACAGCTTGGTATGGTTAGACCTACTTGGAGACCACAGAGAGGGTTGCCTGAAAACTCTGTCTCTATACTCCGTGCTTGGCTCTTTGAACATTTCCTTCATCCGTAAGTGTTTGATTATCACAGATTTCATGTAATATTAGTTTCGTCTCAGCGGTCACTCGAATTGGACCTTTAACATTATTGCCATGGTCCTTTTCTAGTTAGAGACCATTTTCTTTGCTTAGTTAATAACCATTTGAGTTTTTTTTTTTGTAGATATCCTAAGGAGTCAGAGAAGATCATGCTTGCTAAGCAGACAGGACTATCTAAAAACCAGGTAAGACCAAGAAGACTTGATCTCACTTTTGTTGTTTGGTTTAAATCTTTGGTTCTTGATTTTATTTGAATGGTTCTTAGGTTGCAAATTGGTTTATTAATGCGAGAGTTAGGCTATGGAAACCGATGATTGAAGAGATGTATAAAGAAGAGTTTGGAGATTCACCAGAGACACTCTCAAACTCTAACCAAGACAACAACAACAACAAGAAGAAGAACAGAATGAATGAAACATCTCAGCTCAAAAACGAAGACACTTCTTCTTCACAACTACAGAATCATGGAAACAACATAGCATATACATCTGATGCAGAAGAAAACCTTGTCTTTGCAGATCCAAAACCAGCTGGAGGAGGTTACGACAGCTTGATGAATTATAACGGGTTTGGTGTGGGTGATTACAATGGCTACATTGGCCTTGGTAATCAGCAAGATGGAAGATACTCTAATAATTCCCATCAGTTACATGACTTTGTTGTCTGAAAAATAGTTTATGAGCTTTTCATAAGCTCAAAGAAACTGGCAATGCCAGTGATTTGATTCTTGAAGCGCAAGCAAAAGACGCTTCTATAGTTAGGGGTTTTTATGTATCTGTAATATTTGTGGTGGTATATGTGAAAGTTAGATTTTGTGAAAACTGTAGATTAGTCTTATGTACACTTTGGTAAGCCAGTATTGTAATGTTTTTGTGTATAAACAGATATACTTTTCAAGTGTGAACACATACATGTTTCCATAACTAAATGTTATCCCCATAGGTTACACCGAAACACAGTAGATATCCTTATAGGTTATCCACCACATGGTTTTTAAATCCTTTGTACTTCTCTGCCTTTGTTACTTTTGCAACACGTTTCTCCCCAATGGTGCATATGGGACAAGTAGGATCGTACTTGTCTATCTCTGTAGTCATGGTTTCTAAGCACTCTGCGTGGTAAACATGACCACAAGCAAGAAAAGCAGCGATTGAGAGCTCGAAGGTGGCAACAAAAGAAGACCTCTCGGTTAGTAACTTTGAGCAAACTCCACAAGTCTGCTGATCAACAACAACGGAAGGGGACAAGGAGAATCTGCTGCTACTATTACTAAGTTTGCGTCTGCTAGAACCTAAGTGTTCACTATCAAAGGATGAATCTGCCACACAGAAAAAGAGTATCATAAGACACAGCAAGAATACAATACAAACTCAAGAAACAGAGTTATGTCATAACCAAATTGAGTTATTGTCTGAATAAATTACCTGAAGAAGTTGCTGGTTTCTGAGAAGCAAGAGTACCTAAAGACCCATCAAGAGGAAGGGTTCCTCCTCCTCCTCCTCCCTCAGATAGAGTACCTCTTTCAGAGCCTAGTGACGTCTTACGCAAGCTAATACTTCTACTCTCAAGACTGTAATAAGGTGAACCTTCAATCTCATCAGCAACACGTCTCCTATTATCACGTCGAAAACTCCATTGTGGGGAGCATGCAAGAGGAGCAAGACCACTACTAAAAGGAGGAGAAGGAGGAACCTTTCTTTCTTTCACAGCAACACAACAAACAGAACCCATAATCTCTCTCTCACACACCAAAAAAAATTAGAAACAAGGATAAAAGACCTTTAAAGGAGATTAATCATTCAAAGACGAATAAAAACCGAAACTTTCTATATATTCTGGAAACAAAAAAAAAAGGCTCACCAGACGAACGTGCAAAATTATGTTGACATAATAGTGAATTTGTCATTTAATTATAAATCACTTTAACTTCTTAATTTCAATTGAATACATCCACCTAATGTTGAAACTTAAATAAATATATTTAGTACCAGTCTATAAATTTAATTTTGGTAAAAATAATGGATTACGGAGGGATTGGTAGCTTATGGACCACGCCTAGTAGTGCGCTCAACGTGTTACTGTTTCTCCATTAACCGCAAATGCCAATTATTTTTTTGTTTGGAGGTAGGAAAAGTTTTGTCAACACTTCAAATAAATACTCTCTTTAAGATTTTAAAAGAAATAAATAGTTTTTAATGGCAGTGCCATCTCCACAACTTCTTTACTTTCATCTCAAGTAATGGATTTGTTCAGCCACCCTCATCAGTTCAGAGACAATTAATTAATGCGAATTCAATATCATTATCACTGTATGAATGCCAAAACTTGTCACACCAACTGGTGTTAGACCAATTAGTTGCACACGCCATGTTTTTATGATTCAAAGAAAATTCGTCCGAATTTTGTTACTTTCATTACAATGATTTGATTATTGATTGTCAAATCTACTGCGTTTTAGGATTAGAGTCCTTATCGACAAGGATATTTAGAATTAATCTTGGATATTTCGATTTTTTTAAAAAGAGAAAAAAAAAAGATGACCATTCACGACCACCACGTGGTCAACGAGGGTCCGTGAACAGTGTAAGGATTAATCCTTACCAAAGGATTTTAAGCATCTTTTTTTACACAAATTCTAAGAAAATTGACTCCACATTTCTTAAGAGCATCTCCAAGCTCATTCCATAATTTACTGCAAAATGGAGTGGGAAATGGAGTGATGAAGAAACAAAAAAGTGATTATTCCAAATATGAAGTAATGAGATTTTTGTTTCTTCGTTACTCCATTCTCCACTCCATTTTGCAGTAAAATATGGAGTGGGGTTGGAGATGCTCTAAAGACTACCGTTGCACGTGCTCTTAAAGAAAGGGTCTTCTCTATAACTTTTAACAAATTATCCGGCCCAAATTTCATACGGTCCAACAAACAACGTGGGCCTCTAACTTTTCGACAACCTTTGCAAAAGTAAATGGCAGCGATTAATCCCACAATATTTTTGACAGTTTTACTTTTAGCCCATCTAAATATACACATATAACCGGAGTAAACCACATACGGAACCTATGAAGCGAAGCATCCAACATTTAGCTTCGTTTTTACTTAGACACAGACATGACCGAAAAGATCTATTCGTCATAAAAATATTTCTAGAAGTCCCAGGTTCAAAATCATTATCACATTTGTGTGTGTGCTTCATGCAAACCTTCAGGCTCCAACAATTGTGTTAACTTTTAAGAGAAAGATTGTCTCACATGTCACATATAATTTTACCAAAAAGAGAGTCCCATTTAACACTTTATCTTCCATATTAATAACATTATTTCTGTTTTACGAACTTATGAACGTGCATGTGATCGAGTAGCTAGAGCTGATGGGGGATATGATCGTGAAAACGAATTTATGCCATAAAAATGAAGAAACGAGTAGTGCAACTATGTAAAGAATCGATTCTAGTAAACCTTTGGTACGTGTTTTATTCGGATCGGTTGACAAAGCGAGGAAAAATCAAGATAATAACATTCTCGCGGCGACAGAGAGACGAACATCTACTTGCCCCAGTCTTCCTTTCTCACAGAATGTATAATATAATAATGTGCAGCAAGCAAATAAGGACAATATGTTAATCAACTTGATATATGTATTCATTGAACTGAACATATATGAGTTTCGAATATTTGAAAAATAATCTTTTCGTATATGAACATATGACCATTGACGCCTATTTTGCTTGGTAAGTTGGTATAGTTGCGAAAGTTGATATAAAAGTATTGTTTTGGTGCGTGATGAATGACGATCACTGAGGGTGATTTGTTGGTCAAATTTTCTCACCAAATGTCACCATTGTACTTACTCACCTTATGATCCATGCCGTTTTACAATATATATAATAAAATAACCAGTTAATATCTCTATATAGGATATCAATTTCCCAAAATATATAAGGTTTCTTTCAAGACAGATGATTTTATATATAATTAATATCTCAGTTCAAGATAACTTATTTTGTCATACGCAATTACGATTTCTATTCAGCTCTTTTTCTTTTTACAACTTTCTATTCAGCTGAGGATTTTTTTTTTTTTTTTTTGTATGTTTGCTTTTACACAACTCATGATGTGACTTTCTTGATAGTCACGTTTTAGAAAAACAACATCCAGACTCTTCCACGTACCTCAAGATAAATAAGTATAAGCATTAGTCATGGGTACTCCCAACTTCATTAGACTATATTTTTTGTCAAAATATTTATATTGAACTTTGTTGGTTTTCATTTTGATATACAACTACAAGACACATTTAGTTTTAAAAATAGACCATGCATGTAGACCAATATTCTAAGATGGGTTCGGTTTTGAAAAGAATCTGACATAGAACCAATAATATCATATCATCTCTAATCTGTTTAGCTATTTAACTCTAAAATATGGTAATTTTATAACAGAGGAGGCATGTTTTTAATATTTACCTTTAATTATAGCCAATTTCTTTCTACCTAATGAAGTTCATTCATAATTCAGGCAACTGATGTTTAAATCTATCCAAAATTATACAAAGTCTAGATATTAACAGGTACTAATCAAAGACGTGTACAATTGTGGGTCTCCTGAAATTAATGAGATTTTGGCTTATGGCGCACAATTAAGAAAGGGAACAACTTTAAAAAGAAAAAAAAACCACAAAATGTCATAGTTTGTGGTTGTAAGAGCACGTTTATTCGAGTCCCTTAATAGGGGTTGTTAACATAATTAGGTATTTATAAAAAAGAAAAAATGTGATAAAACGAAGGGGCGCCCCTTTATTAGGTTCCCCAAGGGGCGTGTCTTGCAGCCACGTGTTCGTCTAGTACTGGAGAGAGCAGCGGTGACGGGGGAGTAAACCGTGTTTTTTTTCTTTCTGTTTCTCTCTTTCGTTTTCTGTTTTCTCTCTAGGAATGGCAATTCCTCTGCGATTCTCTCCCTCTCCGAGCTTCTCTTCGATGGAACGGCGACGGCTGTATCGGTGGTTCTCGGCGAGGAAGGAACACCGCGACCTTTCTTTCGGTGGCTCTCTTTGGCGACGGCTGTATCCTCTGATGTGTTTTGATTTGATGATGTTTTTTTCTGTCTTTATGTGGATTGATCAAGCGGCATGATCCAGGTAGATCTTCTCTTTGTGTTAGATTTTCTCCTTCTTCATTGTTAATTTGTAACACATAACCTCTTATTTTTTTTTTCTGTCGGTTTTGTGCTCTCCAAGTAAGATTGTGTGTGTCTGGCTTTAGGTATATCATACTCCTTGTTCATGGTTAGCTATAAAGTTTGAGTTTTTCTTGATGAATGTGAATTCAAAGTTTTGATTTTTAATTTGTGAGGGTTGTGGATTTTGCAATTATGCGATATGGGTTATAGCTGTAAACTTGATCGCAGAGGAATACAGGTGAATGGGTATCTCTAAGTTAGTGATAAAGCTATTGACTTTTAGTGTTTTTTATATACAAGTTTGTGCGATTGTGATGAGATCAACCAAAGTTATGACTTTTCTGATGTCTATTGCATATTGGGTTTTGTGTTTTGGTATATGATTTCTTCTCGTTCAATCCATTTACGATATATTCTTCTCTTGATGTTTAAGCTTGGCTTTTCCTTTGAACTAGGGAGTCTGGTGACCCTGGAAAAAGGAAGTCATACTTACCCTTGGAGAAACAGATTTTGATTACGAGAAACGAGAAAAGGTGAATCTGATTCTGTTTGATTTGTTGTTTATGTATGCACATTCTCTTATGTTTACGGTTTCAACAGTACCTTGTCTACGGAGAGAGCTGCATCTGTGGCAGAGGAATATGAAGCTGCTGGACGAGAAGTGTTGGTTGATGATGAAGATGATGATGGTTGGCTGGCTACACACGGGAAACCGAAAGGTGAAGATTAGTTTAGTGCTTTGCCTAATTCATAGTCCTCATATTTAATCTTTTGTCTTGATATTTGTTACAGATAAAGGTAACGAAGATGAGAACTTGCCGTTCATGTATGCGCCCTTGGATACAAACGAGAAAAGCGGTATACGATCAATACCAGCATATTTTGGAGCTGAGAAAGAGGATGATGATATTTCAGATATGGAAGAGTTTGATGAAGCTGACAATGTGGTGGGAATGATACGATGTGTTTCTTTTGTTCATTGGTCTTTGATGAATGCCTTTTAATCGTGCACATGAATGGTCAAGTTTCTAGGCGTGTGTAGTTGTGTTTTGCCTTCGAACATATATCTGAACTTTAAGGGACTAGCATTAAACCATTTTATTCAAGTGTCTCTTAACAAAGTTTTTTTTCTTAATTTTAATAGTTAAAAATTCATTATGGCCCACTTAAGATACACTTAAGAGTTTTAGCAATAAACATGGTCTAAGTTGTAACTTACACAACTATTATTACTACTGTATATAATAAGAGTGTCAGTTTAAGTAGACTTGTACAAATAAATATACAAGCACACATGCATTAATTAACTGATCGGTGATTTATGATTAAAGAATTTGCATTCACATATATAAAAATAATGATAATAATTCAATTTGTTTTAAGTACCGAAATGCAAAATTATTTATCACAATATAGTCTGTTTCAAAAAAAAAAAAAAAGTTTTATCACAATATAGTCTCCAGCACAATAAGTCAATAAGGATCATACTCCTTGACTATATAGTATTTTTTAAAAATGTACCACCTATAGTAAAACTGTCTACTAGCTTTAACATGATCTTAACTCTTCACTAATACCCAAAGTCTCATCTTAACAAATGCTCCCAACGAAAAAAAAAAACAGAAACTATATAATAAAAAGATACAATAATATTCCTCCATTGTAGTATAAATAAAGAGAGAAAAACTTAAAATATTTTCTCTCAACATGTCCATTAATATTACAATCCATTTTAAAACAAGCGTCAATTATTTTATTTATCTGACAAACTTATAAAAACAGAGCATCACATCATTCACAAGGAAGGAAATCACAATTTTACCCCTGGTGCATGGTTTTAACAACAGTTGAAAACATCAGCATGAGCAGTAGTAGAAGCAGAACCCATGATAGTTTGGTTATAGAACCCTAGATTGTGAGGATTCATGACTCCGTCATAAAACCCTCCTCCACCTCCTCCCTGACCCGTCTCCATCCAAAACCCTCCGGCGGTTTCCACAATCTCGTTGAGGGAATCTAGTCGCTGGTTGAGCTCCAGGAACTGAGCTCTGAGAACAGAGTTATCCGCCTCAATAGTGACGTAGTGCTGCGTCGTGACGGCGATGCTAGCGACGATCTTGCTGTTTTCTTCACGTAGATGAGAGACCTTAGCCGTTAGATCGTCCAAATGCTTCTGCTTCCTCATCCTCGACCTCCTCGCGGACTCTCTATTGGACTGCTTCCTCTTCCTCTTCCGCTCGTCAGATTCAGAACCGGAGTTTTGTAAACCGGACGAGCTGTTTCCGCTCGTGGGCGAACCCATTTCAGTTTTATTCATTTTTGTAATATAAAAACACACGAAAATATACGAGGAACGTTACGTAAAAAAACTATATGGTTATATGTTGTTATACGTATATATATGTTTATATAGTATAATATATTTATATATATTAGGGTTAAAGGAGAGATGATTTATGAGAAGACATAGAACCAGTAGAGAAAGACGACGGAGAAAGATTGAACGAGATGGGTCCTGCGTCTAAGAGATGAGTCTATAGTTAAGCCTGATCTAAGGATTTCACTTATTACCGGAGACATGAATGTTTGAACATCAAGATCCAGTTTTAATACAAACACAACTGGGTTTAGTTTTTTTCGAGAAAACAGGAAAAGATTAGAAGAAAAACGAGGAAGACAGATTGTGATGAAGAAGAGAGTGATGATTTATTCGAGAGCTAGAGTAGGGGGAGGTAAAAATTAGTAAGGATTTGTGAGGGGGTTTTATAGAGTGGGAGAAATAAGAAAATAATAATAGATTCGCAAAATTTAATCAGAGTAAGTGATTTTTTTGGTGCACATTAACAGAGTACGTGACCATTACGAAAATTAAGTAAAGGAAATTGGGAGAAACTGTTTCCAGCTGTTTTGCAATATTTGTGTTTATTTATGTGTATGGGTTTAATTTTAAATTAATGATACTGTGAATAACCAATAATCGTTTTAGACACTTTTAAATGGAAAGTAAGACCATCTCCAATGGGGGTTCTATCCTATTGGAGTTCTAAAACTATATATATGTGTATGTATATATTATATATATGTATGTAATGGTAGGGTCTACCAAATAGTATAGAATCTTCCTTAAAAGTTCTAAACAATTCTACATTTAAAACTTTTAGGGAGGGTTCTACACTATTTGGTAGACCCTACAATTACATACATATATATAATATATACATACACATATATATAGTTTTAGAACTACAATGGGATAGAACCCCCATTGGAGATGGTCTAAGCTTTTCCCGCATTCTTTTTTTGTTTGTTAATGTTATAAATTTCTAAAACCTTCGAGACATATTGTCAAGTTTTGTTTTTGTACGTTTTATAGAATGGTATCTCTTTTGATATTTTAATTGTTTTTTCTAAAAATACTAATTTTTTTTTATTTTGTTATATTTATGATTAATTCAATTTTTATTTGTTTCTTACTAATACTATGTCACTTGTATAGTTGCATTATACATTTAAATATCAAACTTTTAGTTACAAATACTATAAATTTTATGTTTTATGATCATTTTTTGTATAAATGCTATTACTAGAGAATATTTGAAATATATTCTTTTTGTTTCATTATATGAGTCATTTTAATTTTGTGCACATAGATTACGAAAACAATTAATTTTACATAATTCTATATAAATACACAATTACCTATATATCTAATCATATTTCAACCAATAAAAATAAATTATTTATTAAAATTAATAAATTTTTGTATTAAAAATCGAAAACAACACTTATTTTGTTACGAATTTTTGTTGTTGTTATGGAGGGAATACTAATAATAAGTACAATAGAAAACTAACCATGGTCTAGTGATTTCCACTTAATGAAGAGTTTTTTTTTTTTGGTAAAACACCTAAAGAAGAGTTGTTATGTTGGTTCGGGTCACAAATTTCTAACGAATTGCTATCTAAGTAGTGTGCATGGATCTCTAATTCTGATGTAGAGCAATCAATAAGTAAATTTCAAGGGATTGTAGGTTGGGTCACGCTCCACTTGACATACTTGGCTAATAAAAAAAAATCAAACTCTTGTGTTTTAATCCATGAGAAATGATGAATGATCGGCAGAGGTGCTAATTCGTAATGCATACTAGTATTATCTATCGTTTAGAATTAATTCTCATCGTACGGACATCTTACCTGTATGCTGTGTGCGCATGTCGATTACTGTGGTAATCGCACAGATGGGATGTCAGGTCAACACGTGCCAACTACTGTGATTAATAATCAATTTTTTTGTTAAAGCAAATAATAGAGGTTGACGTTAATTAAGTATCTTACTGTATTAATCAAATTATTTCTTCATTTATTGGAAACATGTAAGAACAGTAATCTGTACTAATTTTTTTTTTGGAAAGCTAACTAACTGTCTTCTTGACGGTTGAAACACTGTTTTTTTTTTTGCTTAACATGTTGAAATATAGTTTGGTGCCCATAATGTAGTTTTTCTTCACTTCCATTTCAGATGATATTTTAATGTATTTTTATTATTATATTAGTGAAAGATTAATTTTGCCAATACAAAACACAAGTAGCCGTTGCAATCAATATCCTAAAATAAAAAATTACAACATGTTTAGATGACGAAATTTTACATTTTCATAAACAGGAATGTCATACCTTCAGATTTGGTGAGATAGCTTTATATTGCTTTAGTGTTTATTACTCAGAAAGATTATCAGTAAAAATACACATATATACATCATAATAAATCCAGCCTCCTAGGCTCCTAGCTTACATAGAAGCTATATTTTGACCTGCTAAGTCAATTAAAAAATGTTATGTTCTATGCACATTGCAGCAGTCATGTTATTTATATTTAAAAGTGTAATGTTATATGCACGTTGCAGCAGTCATGTTATTTTTATGAAAAACCATCTTTCTACTTTCGAAATTTGAATCTCAAAAATGATAAATTTCATCAAAAGACCCGATCAAAGTAGAGAGATTCAGCAAGTGGGTGTGTGGTCAGTGGTGTGAAGACTCTTTTTACCCAACGCAAAAGGGTTCCAAGTTGCTAAGTGAAACATATACACAAATAAGGAAAAAAAAGTATTATAAAAGAAAGGCAAAGATATTGCGTTCTGGCAAAAACAGGTTTCTATGCCAAAAGACGAAGCAAAATGTAATCCCTTTATAATAATATATTCTTTTATAAAAATCATGTATGTGAGAGAATCTCAAGCACATGCCCCTTTTCTTACTTAATTATGATTGATTAGATATATATACCATCGTAATACTTAATGTAAAAATATAAGAATAATCTTCGAATAGTTTCACAAATCTAACCAACCAAAATCTATATCTCGTCATATAGTTATATATATTCTATTTAAAGTTTATATAAAATTAATAACAATCAGATTTTTATTTACTCAGTTCAATTCAGTCAAGGCCGTATCAAAAAGAGCATATACTCATAATTTATTTGTCATAATATTTGATTTTGGTCATACAATAAACAACCTTAATGAATGATCTCGTCAGCCGGTGCGTGGCTTGGAATTAATAAACATAAATTTAGCTTTTACAATACCAAAAGAAATTTTCCAAATTATTTTTAAGGTGGGTTCTGGTGACTAGTCAATTTGCATGAATGTATACTTTATTAATGTTATATATGTGTATATGAAGAAATATGGAAATATAAAACAATTTGCACAATGGCATCCTAGAAAAATATTCCATTTCAGTTATATATTACCATTTTTCATTTGTTGGATAATGTGCTCAGAAACTATGTGGAATCAAGCTTGATAATAATAACAGAAAGAACACACATATTCTCTTCTTTTTTTGCTAAATAAAGAAACTCATATTCTCTATAGTTTAATCTAATAAAACATTGACATAAATGTGAAAATAGATGAATGGAAAAACAAAACAGTTGCTTTATATCTATCTAAACATATAAACAAAACAAAATAAAAAGTAATTAGTTACCACTTGATCTAAGTTTTGATGGGTGGTTGACAAAAAAAAAAGTAGCAACTAGGAACTGATAAGACTACAGAGGTTTTGGTTTTTCTGGTTCCCTACCATGATTCTTAATTAAAATACTTGTAAGAGAGCTCAGAGACACGGCCATAAATCTTTTAGTTTCTAGTTATAGCTTTTTTTATAAGTATGTGAATTCATTCATGAGAATGGGCAGCTGATAAAAACTGAATCGAAGATTTGCCATAGGCAATTGGTGCCAAAAAGCCCCCCCCCCCAAAAAAAAAAAGTTAAAAAGACTATTTGGCACAAGAAAAAGAGAGAGGAAGTTTTAATTTCTGGTTATAGTTATGCTTTGTTGTTGTGTTACAAAAAATAAAGAAGAAAACTATGCTTTGTTGCGATCTGTGAGCATTGTGATTCTACTTCTGCTGTTTTTTTTTTTTTTGCATCTTCCATTAACTAGTGATAAGTAGTTATTTTTCTTTCAATTCTTATTCAAACTTTGATTCTAATAATTCCACTCCGCATGAGTAGATTATGCCGCTTTGGTTTCTTTTAAAACTTTGAAGTTTAATTTTCGGTAAAACTTGCACGTTTTCTTTATAACATATCCAACTTTGTTTCCAGGGAAAAAATAGACGCATGCATTAATAATGTTTTCAATCGATTGTCTCGGCGACCGATAGAGAGATTAACTATGGATTCCTGATTTGTTTAGCCGACTGGTCTACTAATTAAGAAGAAAGCTCGAAAATATAATTTCTTGCAATGAAAATAATCAGTGAAGGAGAAAGAAAACTAGGAAGACATTGAATCTTTAATGGTTGGTCACGTAGGGCCAGATCTAGGTAATCTGCAAACAATGGGGGGTCAATTTCACATTTATAAAAGCTAGCCCTAAAAGGCTGTATTATTCTTTTTATATGTAATGGGTATGTTCTTGAAGTTCTTCTCCTGCTTTGTTCCCCTTCCACTTAATTAACGTCCGCGGTACTTTCTGTAATGTGATTCTTAACCATTATTCGAGGTTTTGTGTAGAAGCTTCTTTAACAAAATGTAAACGTTGTGATGTATATCAACAACACTTCAATTCAGCTACCTTAACTCGTTGGTAGTTTCGGAAAGGAGAATTATTGTTGTTTTTAATTTTAACTTGCACGTACATTATCGGGTTCCCTTTATAGTTTCGACCAAGATAAGTTTGTTTTGATAGTTCACTGAGTATCAAAAATATTGGTTGAAAATAAGAAGTAACTATCGATTCATTAATATTTATATCACCGAAAAACTAATCCCTATTGAGTTACAAAAAAAAAAAAAATAATCCCTATATAAATTTCCAAAGATATTTCAAATACTCAAAGTTAATAACTGGAACTACAGAACACAAAATATCAAATTTGATGTGATTTTATCTCTAATATATATGAATGAAAAATAATACCATATATTCCTCCAAATTTGGGCTTTGTAAATGGTATTATACTAAATTTGTCAGAATTTTATTATATTTTATTTAATAATATAGTTACATTATAATAATTAAATATTTTAATTCAACAATTAACAATAAAATTTAACACTAAAAATCAAATTTACGATTAGGGTTGGAGTTGCTCTAACCTACACGCACGTTATATGTCTCACATACATACATAATAAAGAAAAACCTACGTAGAACATTTTCTGTTTACAATCACATCAAAACTGATGTTGCGACTTCAGGGTCAAGAATTATTTTGTCTAGGCTTGTACGGTCATGGAAATTTTCTTCGTTACTAAGGCAAAAATGGGACCATATAAACATGTAACGATATGCACAATGACCAATCATTGAACACATGATATACACAAATACTTCAAGTAGTAAGACCACGTGCAATGGAGGTTCATGAAGACCTCTTAGCACTAATCCTTAGGCACATTAGAATATAATAATCATTATTTTCTTAATTCTGCCAAGGATTGGTCCGTCGGGAAGAGTCTTAAGAGGCTGATCCTTAGCACACGTGGCGTTCTCTCGCTCACTCCGACTGGGATCGAACCCGGTTTGTGTTTCGGTGATGAAATTAATTAGTGATGAAATTAATTAGTGTGTCTTTAAACCTATGTCCTCTATATTTGGAATAAGTTTGGTGATGAAATTAATTAGTGTGTCTTTTATATGTTTATTTTAATCATTATATCTTTTTTTATGATGCAATCAATAAAATTTTAGTTTTAATAAAATATTGTTGTATTTCGTTATGAAGATTACACCAATAAAATTTCCTTTTTATCATTTAATAACTAAAATTTTATTTTTCTTTTTTTTTAAAATAATTATTATTTTATTCATAAGGATTCTGGATTGGAGAACACCATTGGACTTGAAAAACGGATTAAGGTCCTTAACTATTCAAAAAGTACAAAAAATTAATAAAAAATAGCTAAGGATTTTTGGGAGAGAATCACCATTGTACATGCTCTAACACCCGAACTCGTTTCATCATTATACTTATTATAGTGTTTCTTTTAAATCCATAGTATTAGTATTGGTCAATCGTTTTGGTATTGCCCACGTATTTACATAGCTGATTAGCCAGTTGGCACGAAATATTCTTCTCGTTAAGTATTCATGGGCGAGAATTATGTACCGATCGACTGATAAAAATAGAACACTTTGCCAGATATTAAACATAAACAGACATATAAAAAGAACCAAAAACATATTTAATCAGAATAATTGTGGGTGCGTCTATAACTTTGAAGGATAGAAACCATACTTAAAATTAAAATATATACATGGAGGATACTATTTTGTTCAAGAAACATGATTTATTAAATATATATTTTGAAGGGATATTATTTTGTTCAAGAGACATGATTTATATAGTATATGTGAATTCTAGAACACTTCTCTTTAAACCAAAGACCAAACAATAATAAAAGATAGAAACAAGTTCCAGACACCAGCATATCAGAATTCAGACATGCAAGATCTATCATATCTTGGATATTAAAATCAGATTCGATCTACAATAAGCCCTTAAATTATATAATGTTATGAAAGTCTTTATGTCTATAACCTCTAAAATCTAATATCTCGGCCGCTCATTGCGAGTAATACTATCGTTGAGTCTGAAATAAAAAATAATTAATCCAAAATGACAATTAATTAACATCTAATGAAAAATGAAAAATGCCAAAGTGATTAAAAAGGAATAAAAACAAAAGATGAAAGAACGACATATGGTAGGGTTGGTCGGGAGATGCTAAAATCTTGAGAGTGAGAGAATGAGGCTTAGAGCAGCCGACATCGAATCTTTAAAAATCGCAAAAATCTCGAAGTACCTTATCAGTATCACATGTATACGCGCATGTGAATATCTTTTTATTCTATTTTCAATAATAACGAACTTTTTATTTATTCAGTTTAGCTTTTCTTCAAACGAAAGGAAGGTTCCTCTGGTGTTACATTTATATGTTTATTATTTTATATATTGTATACATTTTGGAGCTCTTTTATGATCCATAATCGTTAATTTTCTGATATAATTTCTTCACAAACATATATCGATTGGAAGTGTAATACATAGAATAACAGAAATAAACTAATGCTCTTGACCATTCTATTACCGTCTCAGGGTTATCGTTTGACCACTGACTTTCCACCTCTGTGTTCCATTCATAAAAGCTGATGATACGTTGGGCCTTCGTTTAGACCCAACTCTGGTATAAAATATGTATACATGTCCATGAGTTCAAATTGAGCCTAACTATGGCCCAACTCACTTTTGGATGTATCAGCACTTAGTTTCAACATACAACAAGGTACAAATGCAAACATTAGTTCCAAGTAAGAAAAATAAAATATCCAAACATTGTGGAGAAGATATTTCTTTTGAGGCTGGGACAATGGATAACGAAGGAACGCTAGTGAAGCCATTTGCCTATCAATTTTTTTGGACTTGGACCGATTGATTTATCAATGGGCCCATCATCGACATTGACTTATAATCTACAATTTAGCTTCCACTTGCTTCTTTCATTTTCCTCCGATAAGACTTTTATTTTCCGCTATTTACCTAATAATATAGTTTTTTTTTTAAATGATGTATGAAAATAAATTATAAGACAATGGTGTATAACTTTCAGATTTAATAATATATATGCATATTTAGTTATAGTCACTTTCTAACAAAAATATATTGCACTTTCAGAGGTTAGTACTCTCTCTGTTCTTAAAAAATCTACATTTTAGTTTTTTTTTTCACATTTTTTAATAAAACACAATAAATTTGCATAGTTTTTTGTATTTATCTTCTATCCATAATTTTAAACCAATAAGAACTCAATTAATGTAATTAACTTTTTAAAATTTACAATTAATTATAAAACATTCAATGAAAATATAAAAATGAATCCTTTAGAAACAAATTTTTTTTTATAGAATATGTATCTTTAAGGAACAGAAGGAGTATGCTTTATTTCGGAATCAATCAATGAAATTTAGGTTTTCATTTATCCTAAATTAACAATAAACAAAATAAATTTATTCTTTCATATGTATTCCTCATTCCAATTTAGAAGTAAAATTTCCCACTAAAAAGAGTTCAATTATGGTGATATTAAAGTTTGATTATTTACATTACCAAAAATACATCGTAAATATTAATGTCTAGAAGAGGGAGAAAAATCATACTCTAGAAAAAGACAGAAAATAAAAAGAGTCAGATGTTTCTGATAAATTATACGACCTTATCCAAAACCATCTGCAAATACAAACGGCGAGCACACGTGGCATCCATCTAGGCGATTAATACACCGGCTGCCGTTAACTGATGACCTGTCGATCCTTTATGAACTCTCGCCTCACGTCATCACACAGATATAGCACTGAATTACCTTTGTCACCCTTATTCCAGTTTCTTAACTTTCTTTTAAGCCGACAAAAACTTTATTGAAATGAAAACAACACGACGAAATCAAATTCTCTAGCTCAATCACGTTTTTAAAATTGATTTATTTTTCATTTCTTACTTGTGTTTTCTAGTTGTTTGATCTTCGCTTAAATTAGAAGTAATTGACAGTATCCTAGTCTTATAAATGATAAAAAAAAAACAAATCATGTAGTTCACATGTATCATTGACTTTCCTTATCAGAAATGTCAAAGCATAGGGAATATTATTCTATGTTTAAAATGATTTATACACTAGATTTATTAAACAATATTTAATTTACCTTACAAATCATTTACTAAAATTAGACATTTTCCTACAAAATATATATATATATATATATATATATATATATATATATAACTTGCTTTTCAATTAATATATATGATATAAAAGTCTAATATGTTTTAAAATGATGTAACAAATTGTTTTAAAATATATACATATATATATATATATATATAATTGAATTTTCCTTACAAATACATATGTCTTAAAATGATGTAAAAATCTTAATTTTTTATTTATACTAAAATAGGAATACTTGAGTCCACTTTACAAAAATTCACCAACCTCATTACCTTTTGTCCTTAGATACAAAGCAAAGGGCACAAAACACAATTTTTTTAAACAAAAATGATCTAATCACACTAATAGAACTAATTAGGAAAAAATAAATAAACAAACAGAATTAGTAAAAGGGTAAAATGGACAAATGAAACCAAAAAACGGTGTTAATAAAGTAACGGAAGAGATTCCCTCACTCTTCTGATCATCTCTCTCTCAACTCCCAAGCCAAGAATCTCTCCCCCTCTCCGATCCATCCGATCTCCCAATTCCCCCTCGCGAAAACCGTAAGTAACCTCCTCAACCAACTCTCCCTAGTCATCAATCATCACCGTCCGTTAATCTGATGAATAAACGATGATCAATGCGTAGAACAAACCGATCACTGATTATTTTTGAATTTACCGTTAGAATCTGCGATTTTGTTGCTAAACAGCGATGATTATGTATCGTAGGCCTAAGGAAGAGATGAGATCGCTTCAAGCACCGGTTGTTCACCCCACGATTCGTCCTAGACAAGTAGCTGCATGCGCTCTCAAACCTACGCTTCTCTTAGGTCAGCGGATCAAGTCTCGCGTCACTCTCCGTCTGTATCCTCGCGGGTGTTGCGGCGGGAAGAGCGGCGTCAAGTGTGTTTTCAGCTCTCACTCTGATGGGAACGGAAGCACGGCTGAGAATTTTAATGAGAATGATGAGGAGTATGTTGATTCTAGTATAGTTGAAGCTGGTGAGGTTTTAAGTGGATTGATTTTTTTTTTTTTTTTTTTTAGTTTGATTTATTGTTTTTTTTTTTTGTGTAGTTGAGGTGAAGAGTGGAGCTGAGGGTTTTATGGTGAAGATGAGAGACGGTAGGCAGTTACGTTGTGTTCATAACAATCCTCAAGGAGGGCATTTGCCTGATTATGCTCCACATCCTGCTATTGTTTTGAAGATGGAGGATGGGACTGGTCTTCTCCTTCCTATTATTGTGTGTAAGTGACTGAAAATTGTGTATCAGACTATAAGTAGCTTAGTTTTGCTGATCTCTGTGTTGTTATAGTTTCAGGCTGATTATGTTTTTTTTTTTAAATTGCAGTGGAGATGCCTAGTGTGTTACTTATGGCAGCAATGACCAATGTCCAGATTGTATGCCTTTATTTCTCATTTTTATGTTTGTTTGTGACATTGTGTCAGTACTGATTGATTGAATATAATTTTTAATGGTTTTTTTTTGTTGCAGGCAAGACCAACCATGTATCAAGTGGTGAAGGAGATGGTGGACAAGATGGGTTATGAAGTATGTCTTATTTCTTTCAGCTTTTTATACGAAGTGTGATCTCTCCTTGTCTCACTCATGGAAACTTGTTGTTTAACTTTTTTTTTTACAGGTTAGACTTGTTAGAGTTACCAAAAGAGTTCACGAGGCGTATTATGCCCAACTTTACCTTTCAAAGGTTTGCATTTGGTGTCTTTTAGGCGACTTTCACTACTTAGTGTTTCATTTCTCTCTATTAAGGCTGTTTTGTAATGATGTTGCAGGTGGGTAATGCATCGGACTGTATCAGCTTTGACCTTCGCCCTTCAGATGCAATTAACATAGCTGTTAGATGCAAGGTAATACATAAACTATGTTTATAAAACATCTGAGCTACATAAAAATTTCCTGATCTCTCTGTAGGTACCTATCCAAGTGAACAAGTACCTTGCATATAGTGATGGAATGAGAGTCATCGAGTCAGGGAAGCTATCACAACAGACACCTGCTTCTGATGGTTTATTGTTTACTGAACAAGACCGGTAAAATTTCAGACACCTGAAGATCAAACCTGATCTTACCTCTCGTGCTGTGAAATTGAGTGTCTAAACTTAAACATCATTTACCTTTTGCGCAGACCAAATGGTCAGGCTTGCCTTGATACGAAAGAGTTCAATATTCTGAGCAACATGATGCAAGCTGTTAATGAAGAGCGATATGATGAAGCCGGTAAAAGCTTTATTGTGTTATACAATCAGTTTTGGTGACCTTGATCCGTACTTAGCGTTGCTCATCATGAGATAACTTTTGTTCTAAGGATCAATACATTGTTGTTTTATGATTTGCAGCCGAATGGAGAGACAAGCTTGGCCAGTTTAGGGCCAAGCGTAACCTGAAGAAATACACATAAGAGGTACGAAAAGTCTTGAACCAAATGTTCATTTGAATGAGTCTATTATCTTCGTTGCTAATGTGTCTCCTTTCGGACCAGCTTGATCAACAATCTGTGTACATAATAAGAAGTTATTGTCGGGATCAAAGTGGAGGAAGAAGCAGTCTCATGAATGAAGAATGCTTCTACACTTAACCCATTGTCCCAGAAACAAACACAAAATGTAATGTATTATAATGTAGCGTGATGTGTACATACTACTTATTAATCTATGTCTTCGTACTTGTTGTGCACATTAAGTTCACTCTGATTGTATTTTAAGACTCCTCTCGTTCGGCGTTGTCTGTTTAAATTATAACTGCAGTGTCTTTAAAACTATTCTTACAGTGTTTTTCTTAGGTGAATAATGGGCAAGTCTGTAACATTTGTTCACAGCTTTTTCTTATCTAAAAAGCGACCCAAACAGATTAATTTTTATTGTTAATTGACAATTAACATCACAAATCCGGAATGTAAAAAGAAAGATAAACGGGAAACCAGATAACGGGAAACCAGATAACTTGAAACGGGAAACCAGATAACTTGAAACGAGCGGGCTTTTGGCCCATGTATATTACAAAGTCGTGCCGTTGAAACAGTTTGTTAGACCAGCACGTTGTTCAATATCAAGAGTTACAGACAGCGTGATGTGTGTTAATTATAACATCCCACATCGGTTACATGAAAAGAGTTGATTGGAAAAGCAAGGTATAAGAAGAGACCTTGATGCAACGAGTAAAGTACTTACCTGGACGGGGTCGACTCGTGATCAAGAAGACGAGTGGCCTAGGCTAGTGACCTCCATTGCACCTTACGGAGGGGTGCTTAGCTTAAGGTCTTTCCATGAGAAAGAGCCTACGTCATTATTTGTGGCAGAGGGGATCTGCGTTCGCGCGGTCCCTACCATCTTCAGTTGTAAATTTTTGTATACGATCAAGTAAGTATAATGGGGCTATTGTTACACGTTTTCAATAGCAACTTACTTCTGTTTGCTATTCGATTCCAAGCGTACGAAATTTTAATAAACAGAGAACCCAACCCAGTTTTTTTGTTATACATAGTAATAACGCTTACAGGCCAAGAAACAAGTCTAGTTAAGAATCAGCCCAGAAACCGATCTAACTTTCACTTTCACAATCGTAAATTCGTAATGTAGCCCCGCCATAACAGAAGCTAAAGAGCCGATACCAACTTTGAATATTTTCTTTCGGAGGTTTTTGTTGCTGTGTTTCTGATCACATGATCTACCAGGACTAGGAGGAAGATGGAATCCGTGGATCTGTATCAACTTTGAATCCTTGTTCATTATTATCACGCTCCATCCAAAAGTTTGTAGAAAGTACAATTTATTTTAACTTTAATACATGTACAGTTATGTCGATTGAACTCTAGTATGTAATGATATGTATATTTCCAGTTAGAATTATGATTTACTGTAGAAAATGTTTACTGGAAAAATAATGAACAAGGAAACAGAATAAATGGCTGGGCTCAATTGAAGAGGCCCAAGACGCATAAAGCTTGATTATGTAGTTCGTGTATTTGTCCCACATCGGTTGTGGAAGCGCTGAAGCTCGTAGACTTTCACTATAAATAAAGTCTCGCGTGCTACGATAAAAAGCATCTTTGCGCTTGGGGCAATGACGCAGCTAATGAGGTACTAACCGAGGCGCGTCTATTGCTGGTTGAAAACTATTTCCAAACCCCCTCCTGGGCCTAAGCTTGTCTTGGGCCTTCGAGAATTTCTGGAAGGGCTCCCTTCGGGGTAAAGCCCTACAATTTTCGAGTTTAAAACTTTAAGATCCTAAATAAAATTTAATAAATAAAAGGTTGTTTGGACAAAACAAAATTCAAACTCTTACTTGAGGCCCAAAAAGAGTACAAAGGAATAAAGTGGTCGTAGAAGTGTACAAACCAATGTTTTGAAAACCGGATCGGACATCATCACTGGATAGCTGGTCGGACCGGTTGAACCGGAGTTTTGATTTTCTTTAAATATACACACCCACATATATAATATTAAAATGGAACTGTCATAAAACACTTTCAAAAACATACGATTTGAAAATATTCAGTTATAGATACAAAATATAACTAATCAAAGAAGATTTAAGTAAATAATACATAGATTATTATATAAATTATAAGTTCCCTTATTTCTTAGAGTATTTAAATGAGAATTTCTTTAACCAATTTTAATTTCCTTACTTTGAAGTAAAAGAAACATAAAAANTTATAGATACAAAATATAACTAATCAAAGAAGATTTAAGTAAATAATACATAGATTATTATATAAATTATAAGTTCCCTTATTTCTTAGAGTATTTAAATGAGAATTTCTTTAACCAATTTTAATTTCCTTACTTTGAAGTAAAAGAAACATAAAAATAGAAAGATTTCCTAGACAAATGATAATATTTGCATTAAATTATAATGCAAAAAAGGAAATAAAGGATGCAATTTAGAAAACCGGATTCTAAAACTAAACCGGGTCATTGGTTTTGCCGGTTTTCAACCGGTTTTAGCGGTTTAGGTCACATCCGGGTTACAACTTAAACCGGACTCGGCTACAAAGACGATTCACGGTCAGACCGGTTGGACCGGCCGGTCCGGTCCGGTTTTCAAAACCTTGGTACAAACAAAGGACCAATATAGTTTCTATGTCTCGCAGTGAATATGGATGAAGTTTTTTTCTGTTTCGTGGTTATATGCTAATTAATTGTAATTAGGTTAGATTACTAAAATGTTTATCAGTTAGTTTCCCTTTTGTTTTCATTTTTTTCTGGCTTTTTCTTATTTATATGCTTTTAGATGTTAAACTAGTCCCAACAGCATTTTATATGACAAACAACCCTCTCCAAAACATACAAATAAGTAACATAGAGAAAGAGAATATAAAGATAAAAGTTGATCAAAAAAAAAAAAAAAATATAAAGATAAAGAACATCAAATGATTCTGTTTGCCAAGAGGATACATAAAAATACTCAATAATGGCACACTACCACATTGAGTTCTTTAATCAATTGTTGCAAGTGGATATAACCTCCCGAAAAGTTTGATTAATCTAAACCTCGTGTCAAAAGGCCAGAAAAAAAAAACAATTTATGTGACACTGGAAAAGCAACAACTAAAGAATCAAGAAGCTGGTAGGAATCTAAGGATAAGATTTAATTTTTGTAACATGTCTTTCTTTCTACTGTCATCTTCTTTTACGGGTTTTCTTTATGTATTCGTTTCTTCGTGCAGCAAAATGATATATTCATTTTAAAAAAATCAATGTCAAATAGTTTGGTAAAGGAAAGTATCACTGGTTTGTCCGTTGGAATAACCCCAATGAACATTTTTGAGAAGTATTCTAAAGAAACTAAGTGGAAATGTTGGTGACTAATTGCCAATTATTCATGAAACAAAAGAAGTTGGTGAAGAAGAGACCTGAATAGCTTCAGCCTATATACGAGTTAAAAACTATCAGGAAACAAATAAAATGCAAAAAAAGACCCAGAAGGTTTATTGACAATAAGTTATATTTTTTTCTTTTTCGAAACTCATAAGTTCATAATATTACAAGTTTCATTGATACATTCAAAGTTGCTAAGAAGTTTGACTAGATGGCAAATACATATTGGGTTATCTATTAATAATAGGAATCTCAATTAATATCAAAGGGTTGTGAATCTCATCTAAGTGAAATGTTATGTTTTTCTATTGCAAAAAAGAAATTAGATTTTAAAAAATATCTAAAGATGTCTATCTGTAATGAAACTGTTTTTTTTTTAAATAGTGCATCTATTTAAATTTTAGTTATTTTTAAAAATAGTTAATCTTTATATAACAAATGTGTTTTTTGAAATGAGGTGTCTATTCAAATATATAATATAAATGTATCATTTAAAATAATTACCTATAATTAGATAGTTGTGACTATTCATAAAAATAACTAATTTTAGTTTGAAAAGTTATGACTAATCACTATCTTTAGTTTGAAAGTTGTGACTATTCATAATAATAAGTAATTTTAACTTGAAAAAATGTGACTATTCACTACCAATAATTTGAAAGTTGTGACTATACATTAAAAAAACTAACTTTAACTTTCAAAAGTTGTAATTATTCATATGGACCTTTGAAAATCTATAAATAGTATATATCCATGAGTTTCTCAAAGTAAAAATTTCACTAATCTAAAAAAATAGTGAAGAATAAAAGCCTTTTCTAACGAAACTATATTTCTGATTAGCTTTATTCTATGAATACATAATCCATGTCATATAATTTCATACACTTAGATTATGTAAGAAAGTTTGATAGCGACACTTAGGTTACATCCTTTATAATGACTATTCATGATACAAGTTTACGGTCGGCATAATTAGTGTTCATAACCATCTATATAAGCACATCATCTGGAAATATTGCATTCTGGCATTTAAGTATCTGGAATTTTTTTTTTTTTTTTGTAAATCTGAAAATATTTACTTGTTGTTAGTTTAGGAATCTATAAACTTTGACACATAAATGAACAAATGCAATGGTTGTATAAGTGCTTGAAATTTGTTTTTCTTTTGTTCTTGAATTTTACTGATAGTAATGCATGAACTATTACTTTTCCTTACAAATAAAATTCACAAAAAGGTTTTACAAGAAATACGAGAATGTGCTTTATGAAATTGATTTTTATTCACATGTGCATGCATATTAACATTCTGAGGAATAAAAAATGTTTTGCACGCATGCAGTTTAATTACTATAAAAAATATATTCCAACTTAATTTTATTAAGCATTTTAATACCCATACTTTTCGCTATCCAATTTAATACTCCCAACTAAATTTTTATCCACTTTAATACAATTTCTTTTTAACACGGTACTCATTTTAATACACAAACTTTATTTATTTTAATAAAATTATTGATAATTTTTAAACAAAAATATCTAAAATCTCTAAAATCTAAGAATAAATATTAAAATATAGCATTTTATTTCATATTTTAAAAAGAATGCAAATAAATTAGGGAGAAAATTGTAAATTTAAAAGTTTTGATTTTAAAGGAAAATAAGTAAATTTGTTTCTACTTCATAAAATAAACTTAATTCAATATTTAACACTTAAATTTTTATTGCAAAAGAGGTTTAAGACCTTAGATGTTTCTGTTTCTCTAAAAATAGATATTTTATAGGGGTTAGTCCACTTATTAGGTGGTATATGAATTTTAAAAAAATTACTTAATGAAAATTTTGAAATGATGTCCATATACAATGAAAATAAGTTTACCATACATATATATAAATTTAGGGTGTGATTAGTTATTTTTAAATAACACTAAAGAGATTAAAAATTATATATAGCATTTATCAAAAAATTCAGTATTTTCGTAGGGGTTAACCCACATATTTCAAGATATATATGAAAATA